GGGCAGATGCCGGGGTATTATAAACCCATTCATTTCAAGCAGGGGATTTCCAGCTGGGATCAAAAATACAGTACTGAAGGAAAGTTCTGGTTCCAAATGCGTGGGAAAGACCCTATTGAGAACACCAACACCACGAGCAGTGATATCCCAACCATCGGCCTTCCTCGCCACACTACAACATCGAAAAGAAGCGCGGGTGTAAACCCATTCGATGAGCATGGCAGTCCGCTAGACGACATATTTCAGGAAGCAACATCAGACTCCGAGTTAAGCGACGCTGCGAGCATTGACGACGTTGAGAGTGAAGCTGAGAGCGATCTTTCACCGGCTACATACCCCACTCGCAAAAGAAAACGCAGTCTCTCAAATTCCGGTACCTCATTGGCTTTGTCCCCAGAAAAGACTTCGATGAACGCGGAGCAAGACGCAGCAACTCAGCGTCCCGATGATTCCGTCTTCTTGGGAAACTTCCTATCAACCTTTTCCGACTGGTCCTTGACCGGTTACTTCTCACTCTCTCAAAACCGGACATTCCCTGCCCTTCTTCAAAAAGAATTGCAAGTCCAGGTTGCCCAAATCCTGGTCGATCAAATCACACAATCTTCGCTCGACCACAAGTATGATGGGACCGTTGGTATCCCAGGCTGTGGCAATGAGGCGCATTCCCCGCAAAGCGTTGATGACGAATCATTCATGGGCGGGCTAGAAAGGCTCGATTTGAATAGCTTCGTCTCTCTGCAGGATCCTGTAGCACTTTCGCCTACCACTCAGGCCCGACAATCTTCGCAGCGGAAAGACACAAGCAAGGGCACCATTTCTCGCCTCGGCCCACCACATCTACGCGTCTGCCGCGGCAAAGACTTTCTGGAAACACTACCACCAGCAATCCCATTCTGGGAAACATTTGGGTTAGGACCGGCCCATGGCCAGAAGGATATACTAGCTTATTGTATCCATCCCCATACCGCCACAGAAGCTGCGGATACCTTTTTAGACCGTCTGGGCTTGGTATATTCTGGCTGCAATCTTGGTAATCATAATCGGGGGAATGACTCAAACCTGTTCAGTCGTGGTATGGGCTCATGGGACATCGATTTGTCACACACGCGCTATTCATCTATCATGCAATCCTTGAAGACGATCTGTGAGGACTTAGGTATGTCAGCTCTTTTTCACTTTGAGGCCCAGCGCTAACCCGGCTGTAGGAACGGCTTTGCAACAGAGTCCGCCCGGCAAGGATAACAATCTGGTCATCTATATCGTCAACCCCTTTGCTCACGCTGCGGCCTTGGTCGATATTTGTTCGGCCTTCTGGAGTCTGTTCCAAAGATATGTGGCCGATGCTGACAGGCAGCAGGCCCGCCAACTCAATGAGCTTGTGTTGCAGATAATTCCCTTCGACTTTCTCATGTCAAATGAATCTTTAGTCGTGCCTCCTCAAGCAGAGTACTTGAACTTAGCCCTCGAGGTCTATAGCCGGTGCCCACCAAAATCGCCTCATTCTAGCTTGGTCAATGGCGCCCCTCCAATGCTTCTTGCAGAACCACTTCCCAAGGCCATCAACTTCAAACTCTCATCTGAGAAGACTTCTCCACTGCAAGAAGGCAGGTGTCTCCACATCGCGTGCTCTAGAAGTCAAGATCAAAGGTGGATGAGCGTGGCCTGGTCAGATAACACCGGCGCTCTGCAGCGAACCATGTCCTATTGTCTCCGCTTTCGCAACTCGTCCGCGGTGAGGAGCATCGCGGAAGTTCGCGGTGAAATCTGGGGAGCAACGAAGGACATAATGGACAGGACCCAGGCGCGCTGGCGGGTTATTGTCGCCAACACAGATCCTGTGGATCAGGAAGAGGTTGACAGTAAGTGTGCCACTGCAAAGAGTTTTTTTGTGGTTACTGACAACTTCAGCCTGGACAAGCCTCACAGAACAGTACAACAAGTCTAGATCAGCAAATCTAGAATTAACGATCTTGAGTGTCGGTACCACGCCCGATCTTACACTTGAGCCACCGTTCTTGCCCCTGCCCATGAGCGCAGTTAACCCTCTTGCTTCAACCACCCCCATTGCTACGCCGAATCCTAGCATTTCCTCACCCGACCAAATCAGCACTGCGCCCACTCCTCCAAGCGCAGCGAATGTACCTCTGAACGCCCCCACTCCCACAGATACCAATCCTGAGATAGAGTCTGAATCCCTCCTCATGGACATATGCGATGAGACGTGGGGCGTTGTTTTGTCCCATCGTCTTAACAGCTCTATGCATCAAACCGAGTATCGACCCGCGCTGGCCAGCGGATACCTACTTCGCAGGAGAGGCTCTACCGATGGGGACGGAGTGTATACCATGGGGGCTAACATCATCTACACAAGGCGTTCTTCAGCTTCGTATGACGCCGTTCTTCGAGAGATCCTGAGCATGTACCGTGATCTTGCGACTCTAGCTCGGGCCCGGGGCACTCGGGCCGTGCAACAGGGTACACTACCCTGGCACATTGCTACTGTGGTCAAGGCTCAGGCGCTTCTGAGCTATGTTCTCTGATCGTTCTTCATGTGTTATATTAGTTCATTATACCATGTCGCGGCTGGTGTGAAGATACGGCGTATGGTGTTTTATCTACCTTATTAGAATATGATCCCCAGGCGAACTGTATATAACTATGGTGCCTCGCTTTCGTTCATCAAGCAATATGTGGGAACGGTACATCTAGCGTAAACGGGTTGGAGCTGCGTTCAAATGACTTTCACTGTTGTTGACCGATTGTTGAGAATATCATTCCATACCTTGGCTAACGAGTTCAGGTAGCTCTTAATCACGCATGCGCTGTTCAACACACCGAAGCTCTCTGTGCAGAGACTATGCATGTAAGTCAATGGTTGTTCGGTACTCGGAATCTGATCCTAGCCCCTAAGTTGCGAACGCGAATGATGGTTTGTGAAGAGCTCCGGCTATAATTCTGTCCACAAAGCACAACAACCGATGTGAGTAATCTCCACCAATCCAGCTTTGAAGCCAGCTCGCGACCACTGGACTGCCCCCTACTCCAATTCAAGGATAACATATTTTTCAAAGCCAGTTATGGAAATCTCCTTATAAGCCAACCCGAGATCTCCTTTCGTCCCAAGTACCGGAGATAACTCTTTTCTTTGTGGTTTGAGAAAGCCCATGGAGACTGTCTACTAGATACGGAAGATGCTGGAGCTCTTCAACAAATTCTTTGACAAGAAAACGAGATGCACCTGTTAGCAGCAGGGTCCGCAGTCCCAGAATAATGCTTTGCGTTCATTATAAAAAGCGATCATTTCTTCTGATGATTCAGCTCTTCCTCCCATCACGACTTTCACCTTATTCACACAAAAAAACGCAAAAACACAAGTCAAAACAACACAACACAAACATCATGCCTACTAACAAACAGCGCGTCCAGCCCAAGTCTCGGCGGTGGGCAAAGAGACAGCGACAGGCTCCCTCGACCAGCGCTGCGCAGAACGCCAGTCCGACCATGTGGCACGATTACTACAATGTCACCACCCACGGTGAAGCGACCCAGGACGGAGCCCACCACGTCTCATGCAAAGCGCAATGCCGCTACTGCTGGATGTTCTGGACCAGCCGCACCTCTTCCCCGTCCGCCATTAGTCTGCAGCTCCATCTGCATTTCTGCCCGGGTCGCAGAAAGCGTGCCGCCGACCAGAAGAAGAAGTGTAAGTTGGGTAAGTGCCCCCCCTCCTGCGATCTCGCCGCCAAAGATGAGACATCGACAAAGGGGGCTGAAGAATGGCACTACGATGGAGAACAGTGCCAACCACCCCAATTCAGCAAGCTAACAACGGACCAGATGCGCGAGCGGTTCGTGATCGGCACTAAGGGCTTCCGGTTGAAGGCGCAGTGCCGCGACTGCGACCGGAGGGTCTGCAATAAGCGGTATACGCTCTGCAGCCATCTGGCTGGGTGCGCGATGCGCCGCAAGTTCTTGCTCTTCCGGGGTGAGAAGGCGGGTCGGTGGGTGAAGTGCCGCGATTGCGGGGAGGTTGTGAAGGCGGATCGGGGGGTGAAGATGATGCATCTGGTCAAGGAGTGTCCTGCTAGGAGCTCTGATTGAACTGGAGGCTGTTTTCAGATTCCTGGTTGCGCTTGTTGAAGTAGAGGTGTCAGGCGTATTGAATTGAGTATTTGTTTTGGTTCACTTTAGCATAGGCGGGATAGCCGCGTTCGAATGCTAATTTATCTGAATTTTGATTATCCGAGTTTATTGACCATTACACTGGAGCTATGAAGTAACTTATAATATCTTATGTAAATCTGTTAGAAGATCGATGGAACCTTGTCACCGCCGCGGTGATCGAGTTCTTTCCGTGCTGGGAACAGACTGGCGTCCTCCATCATAAACGATCTTGAATAGGGATGACCGTGTTACCGTCCGCAGATTGCGGAGGTGCGGTTAGTCCTATTATCAACGGCCTTATGGCCCATACCAGCTGGATGGTCTACCGGTTGTATGTGTTCGCTTGTTCAAAACACCATGACAAATGAGATATTGCCTAATGGGGGAAGAAGCGCCTGAGGTCAACGGGGTCATGTGACGTGCAAACGAAACCGCGAGTATGTAACCACGGCGAATTCTTCTAGATTTCTCCCTTCCTCACCAATTCCATGAATCTCGAAGGCATCAGACTTCCCTTTATGGACCAGTAAAGTCATCAGAATCTCAACCGTATCTCTACCTTCAAGCCATCGCCATGAGTTCTCTTTGCTTAATCAATTCCTTCACACGATCTTTCCTACATGACATTTCCCCGACACAATGTGTAGATGAATATCTCATGTAAACTGTGTCCACTGCACGACACATCAAGTTTCAAAGTCGCCGCTTGCATTATCCACATAAGGATTATACCAGACATATAATGAACATTCCGGCCTTATGGTAGCCATACCGAGTCTCCCAGTTTGCAAACACCTCAAGAGAACTCCTTGTCCTGTAAGTATGTCTTTGAGACGCGTTACTAAAGAGCCAGGTTCCCAATGTCTTGCTCTTTGAACGCATACATCTTTCTCTGGAAACCTATTCTACATTGGACATTCACTGGCAATATCCGCAAACTCTTTGATGGCAGATCCTGACCCTGATGAATGAAATCTTGGGTTTCCCTTCCGAGAAGATCGGATTGAATGTTGGATTCTTGCTTGAGAAATTGTATAAATTCCCGTCCAAGACTCCTCTTCTCGTCACAGTTGTGTTCTTCACTGACCGGAATCGCCTGAACAGCAACCTCAACTGACACCTCTTCAACTCTCACCCATACATCAAACTCAGTCCTCCCAGGTAAGAACGGAACCATGTCTGCGCCGGAGTGCCCGAAGCTCATTTACCCAGCAGCAGAAGCGGACGAGGACCTTCTGCAGCACTTCGACGTCAAGGTCGGCAAAGATGGGACCAAACTCCTCCAGTTTCACCTTTGCAAGCGGCTCATGCGCAATGTCACCTTCTCGCTGAAATGGCATCTCCAACACGTGTGCGAGAGAATAAGAGAGAAAGACGAAACCAGATCAATGTGCTCCGCCGCGAAAATCACGCCCCGCTTCCACTACGACGACGAAGGTCTGGTTACTCATATCAAACACACCCGAATCGTATGCCGCCACTGCCACGAAGCTGTGACCGACTGCGCGCGAGCAATGAGGGCCCATGTGCAGACATGTCTTCAGGGCAGGACTCAGCCGGTAGAAGAAAACGCCTTCGCCGCCGAACTGCGACGAGACTATTTCGAAATCTCCTCGGGGAGGGCGGCGGCGGCGAAGGACGGCCCGTCAATCGGAAAGCGACTTGTCGCCACTGCCAGGCTGTCATGCAGGACCGCCAGCAAACGATGGTCAGGCATCTGGTTGGTTCTTGTCGTGCAACAGGTGCATACGGGCGGGTAGAGGGTAGACCTGATACTTTGGCGGGGAGTGGCGCCACGTGAAAATCGGCTCTACTGCCCCTGGAAGATGGGAGGATTATAAGATCTCTGGGTCTTCCAATATCTAGTACGTCTGGTTGTTCTCGAAATGCCCGGACATATCCACCATAGCGGTAATTGATCAACATAAACTCTGTGGATCTTGTCTTATCTACTTGCAGCCTGAATATATAATGTCTACTATACCAGGATCTCTTCTATCTATGCCCTACGATGTAAAATACCAACCAAGCTTTTTAACTGTATAACTTGCAGTCATGTTTCTTCGACTTGAGAAAGCCCTTTTCTGTGAATCATATGGGTTTCATTTTTTTTTGAAAGGTTAGCCACACCCTTGAGCACTTGAGCTTCTTGCGTCTGAAGTAACGAAACGGAGACTATGACCTCTCTCTCCTAAGCACAGACTCTTGGGAGCATGGTTGGGAGATTCCAAAATACTTTGGAACTCTCATTTCCAATGAGAAGCACCTTATATCGATGATAAAAGTATCGGATGATTTTCCCGACGAAAGAAAGGCATCAATTGTGTACGGTTCTGGGGGTTAATTGCTTGCAGTTACAAGGTAGTATCCAAATTTGTCACTCTAACTTTCGATGATGCAGAAGCATATATCTAGAGATTGGGTGCTGGCAAGGTGCAACAAAAATGGCCGTACAGCTGCTGGCCCTCAAACTAAACTCCCCTATGACTTTCAACATCTCTACCTTCACTCTGTACCATTGCAGCAGCAGCTAGTTATATCGAAGCTATCTTTACTCAGCAACCATGAATCGAGAGAGCACGAGACTCCTCACTAGCCATAATGTAAGAGAGTCACATGACCGCTTATCTATCTAATCAGCCGCGCGATAACTAGCCCATCCATATCAGCGCCCCCGCCCCAAAAAAAAAATTTGGAAAGAGTCCAACAAGACTAGCGCCAGCGCTGTTCCTTATTATATTCGCATTACATTCTTCTTATTTGCATCAATTAGACCTCCACATCACTAGTAGTCTCTTTAGAGCCTCACAAAATCCTCACCTACGCCACCCCTTCCCTCACGGTACTCAATCACCTCCCGGGAAAACCGAGTCCAGTAACCCCGCCATACCATACCGCCGCCCGCAGCACAAACACAACACAACAACAATCCTCAACCCGGGCCACTGCAGTCCCTCGAACCTCCTCATTTCGCGCAACCCCCAACCCACCAATCTCAAACCTACCTCAAACCCACCCCAAAAACACACTATCACCAAAATGTCCACCCACCCCGAAGAACCCACCGCCACGCCCCCGGCCGGAACCAACTACCTCGACCTGGGGATCACGCTCGCGCTCCACAACTGGCCGGCGCTGACGCTGGCGGTGCAATCCCTCTGGGGCGGGCCGACCTCGGCCGACAAGCGGGACTGGCTGTGCGGCGCGATCTCGGAGATGCTGGCGACGCGGCCGGAGACGGACTCGTACGACCTGGAGGACGTGCTGGTGCAGGTGATGACGGACGAGTTCGACGTGGACGTGGACGACGAGAGCGCCGCCGCCGTCGCCGACCAGATCATGGAGATGAAGGCGCAGACGGAGCGCGGGGAGTACGCCGCCATCCAGCACATGTGGGAGGTGTATCAGCGCAAGGGGGGCCAGAATCAGGCTGCTGCCGGGATTCAGCGGGCGGCCGCGGCGGGGCCAGATGGGGAGGAGGATAGTGATGAGGATGAGGATGATGAGGACGAGGACGAGGCGATGGATGTGGATATGGATGATGCGGCGGCGCCGGCGTTGGTGCGCGCGCCCAGGGAGAAGGTCGAGCCGGAGGTCGATGATGATGGGTTTACGACGGTTGTGTCGAAGAAGCGCCGGTGATCTTATTTCCCTCCCTCTCTCCCCCCCCTTTTTTCTGGTGCTCGATTACACTTGAATTTACTCCGTGTTGTATGTATTTCGATTCCCCTTTGTTTTTCTTTGTTGAGATAGATAAATACACTGCCATGGTTACTGGACTAGACTGTACTAGAAGACTTCTTTGGTCTTGGTGTTGTGTATCTGAAGCAAATGCTGGGTGGGCATGGCAAATTTTATGGCGCGATTTTCTAGTCGCTTTCTATCGACTCAGCAGGAGCAAAAATGGAATCAAAATCCTCACAAAGAAAAAAAATAAGATTCATCATCATCAACCAACGTTAAGCTTGTCATTGTGTCGAGCCCGTGGTCCCGCCCATGCCACCCTAGATTGTCGAGCCCGACAAACTCTTGTCCTATTGGTCGCGGTAAGAGAGATTGGGAGCTTATGCAATGGATGCCAATGCCCGATTATTCACACATTTACTCGGCAACAACTTCCTCGTTCTCGATAAGCTTGGTGATCATACCGATAGCAATGGTTTGTCCCTAGCAGTCCTGTTAGCGGCGCGCTTGATTTCAGCATGTCTGGGAAGATCGGCTACTTACCTGGTCACGCAAGGTGAATCTTCCCATCTGCTCCGAGTAGGAGAAAGGTTCACAGCAAACTTGTCCAGCCGTCGAGGTGACCTCTACTCTGGCAATAACAGTCATACCCTTGCTGGCGAAGGCGGGCGCCTTCTTGCTGCGACGACCGGTGCCGGGTTCGAGCTACAAAGATAAGCGTTAGCGGAGGAGCGGGCATTTCGACGAGAAAGAGAGCATACCTTGTGCAGAAGAGCGGCGATAGTGACTTCTTCAACAGCCGAGTGCACGTGCATAACGCAGTTGAAACCGGCAGAAAGAATGCCCTTGATCTCGAGCAACTTGATCTTGGCCTCAAAAGAGTGGACAGAGTGGACCAAACGTCTGGGAGAGCACAGGACGAATCCGGGAAGAAGGTCTTCTTCTTCAACACCGCGAAGACGCATGCGGACTTGGTCACCGCAACTGCCAGTGGCGATTTCGTCTTCGGTTTCACCATACAAAGCAGCAACTTCACACTTGGCAAGGCCGGGCACCACCACCATTTGGGAACCCTTCTTGACGATCTGTAGCATTATTAGGAAATAGACACGAATAGCAATGGTGGGAGATGCATACACCACTGTCGATCTTGCCTTCAACCATAGTTCCCATATCTCTGTACTTGGCGCTGATAGCCATGGCAAAAGGAGCATTCAGCTTTCTAGGAGGGAGCTCCATGTCGCCGAGGTACTCCAGCAACGAAGGTCCATCATACCAAGGGCACACGTCCTTCGTGACCTATATTGACCAGTAAGCATATAGATTTCGTGATATGGCAGACTTTCACTTACCCGGTCCTTGATGTTGACCATGGTCTGTGCACTGATGGGCATGAAGGTCAAATCTGCATTCAATTGTCAGTATGTCTGACACTTCCAACGATAATGATGAAGTGTACTGACCGGCCTTTGCGTAACCCAATGCCTCCAAGAACTTGGCCACCTTTGTGGTGCAGACCTTGAAACGCTCCTCGCTCCACTCGACGGTAGGGTCGTCCATCTTGTTTACGGCAATGACCAGCTTGCGCACACCGGTATTTCTAGCAAGCAAAGCGTGCTCGCGGGTTTGACCGCCCTTCTCGAAACCGGTCTCGTACTCACCCTTACGAGCTGAAATGACAAGGACACCGACATCGGCCTGGGAAGCACCACCAATCATGTGGTGGACGTAGGCCTTGTGACCAGGAGCGTCCAGAATACTGCAGCTTCTGGTGACACCGTTCTTCAGCTGGAGATCGAAATGGGCGCGGCCAACTTCCACGGTCTTGCCCTTGGCGCGCTCCTCGGGGTTGAGATCCAAAGCCCAGGAAAGATACCAGGTCTCACGACCCATTTCCTTGGCGTCTCTCTTGTACTTGTCCAAAGTACGCTCATCGACCATACCAGTGGCGACGAGAATGCAGCCTCCCAAGGTGGATTTACCGGCATCGACGTGTCCGATGAAAACCACGTTGACGTGCTCCTTCTTCTCAAGCTCGCCGTACAGTTCGTTCAGGGTGGCCTCGTCGACGTCGGCCTTCTGCTCCTGGGCAACAGCATCGGCATGGCGAGCAGCCTTCACCAACTCGGCTCTGGAAGGGCTGGAGCGGCCAGGGGATGACCGGCCGGAGGCGGGAGCAGGGGAGGACTTGCCACTAGCAGCAGCCTTGGCCTCCGCCTTCTTCTCGGTCTTCTCGATGGCCTTGGAAGCCGTCACCTTAGCAGCGGCGTCGGCGGCAGCAGCACCCTTAGTGTCACCGGGGGTGGCCGTACCCGAAGTCGCGGGACTGGGAGAAGCGGAAGTGCCGCCAATGGAGAGGACCTTCGTCTTCGGAGCATTGGGGGAGTCGCTGGCGCCGCTGACGCTGAGAACCTTAGCCTTGGGCTCGGCGCCAATGCTCAGGACCTTAGCGGCGGGCTTGGGCTCCGCAGCGGGCTTGGGTTGTTGCTGAGGCTGCTGAGGCTGCTGAGGTTGCTGCTGGTAGCCACCGTATTGTTGCTGGTTGTAGTATTGGTTGTAACCGGGCTGCTGAGCATAGGCTCCGTATTGTTGGCCGTACTGACCGTAAGGCTGCTGTTGCTGCTGCTGGTATCCGTATTGTTGGCCGTATTGGGGGTATCCGCCGTACGACTGCTGACCAGGAACGAATGATGCGGCGCCGGGGGTGAAGGAAGCAGCGCCAGGAGTGAAGGTCGAGCCTTGGTAGCTGAACTGCTGTTGCGGGCGACGGCCGTTGTTGTTCAGGTTCACACCTTCGGTCTGTCTGGAGAGCTCATCCTCCCAGGATTCGGGGGTTTGGTTGGCCATGGTGTAGAGCGCTGGAAAACCGCAAAGAGAGCAAACAACTCAGGCAAGGTCCCAGAGATATCCCAGAGATATCAGAAAGCAGGTCTGGAAGACGGGGAAGAGGGGTGAAAGACAAGGCAAAAGGCCAAATGAGGGGCGTTTTTTCTCCGGAGCCCGATTGATTTTGCTGCTGGCTGACTCAGCTGCGTCTCTTCCCCGCCTCCGCGTGTGTTGCGTTTGCCGCGTTTGTTGCTGGTTACGCAGACTTCACGCCGAATAATCGAACTGCAAGCTCTAGGCAGGTGACAAAGAGGAGAAAAGAAAAAGACTTCGAAAGTTCATGGATGGTGTCCTCAACTGCCAAACCAAACAACAGACAACGTGGGTGGCTTATCGCCGATTAACACCTCAGAACAACCCAAGGCCGCTACGGGCCAGTTGCATACAGCAGCTATCGCCGATCTACATCACTCTGCAGCTGCTACTATAGATCTGAGGCAAAATGGATGTCTTTTTGGCCAGAGTAAGCCCTTATGTCACTTGTCACGCTACATACAGACTAACTTCTGTCTCAGCTTACCCAACAGGCAATGAACTATGCCATTCGGTATGACTCGGCGATTCTTGGCCTGATCTTGTTGGGCAGCTAGCTCACTGAGTGGACATGTAGCTCGGGAATAGCCATAACAGCCAAATATGCCATCCGTCAGTCATCACGGCTGCTCAAAGTTAGTCCAGAACCTCACGAGTCGTCACTTGCCAGAATTCGCTGGGAGCTTCGTTACTGACGCAGTTCAGAATGTCGATAATTGCGAGGAAAGAGACGAATTGCTCTCTCTGCAGCACCGCTTGGAGAGCAAGATCCAGGTAAGCTTCGCTCTCTCCAAAACTCCTACACGCGAGTATAGAACTGTGTGCTGAAGACAGACGACAGGTCATCTCTCCTGCTATCGACATGATTGAGCTTATGTGAGTCTCATATCCAACAGCGTAGTGAGACACGTTCTAATTCCCCGCAGCGCTGCAAGAGGAAACACATCGCTAGAGTCAGCAGTATTCCTCACCAAATCTCTACGATGGGACATACAGGCGCTGGGCCAGCGATTAGCAAAGGCTGCAACATCTGAAGAGCTCTACGCCCGAGGAGCCAACCCCAACCGCGATCGCTCGCAGCAGCAGAAAGAAATCCAGCATATCATTCGAGACATCAAGAAACTGCTTGTGCGCATCGAAGATGCAGTGCCCTTGATGAACCTGGCTATTACGACCTCTGGTGCTAAGCTTTCAGTCAACCTACCATCGACCGTGTCTCCCTCTCGGCTGCTGCAGGCGAGCACGTTCTTGACCGCAGGCGATACCCAGTACTCCATGTCTCCGTCCCACGCCGTGCAGATTGGTCCAACATTTACGCTATCCATGTACATGCTCTTCGCAAGTCATCTCCGCCCGCATGACGAGGACGGCATACGCGAGGCCACCTGGAAAGAGGTCATGCACAAAGCTCGCCTGAAACTCCGTCGAGTGCCCATGGATCTGGCGACACATCCGCGGCACCGGCAAACGCGGCACATAGGCCTCCCTGGTGACGCACGAGTGGATGAGTTCGCTTACCAAGTTCTCATAGTCGAGGACCTCGACGACGGGCGAGTGCACACATTCGACGAAGGCGAAGCGCAGCCCGAGCACTTCGAAGGAGTCAACACCGCCGGACTGCGCGAGATCCTGCCCATCCACCAAATCTCCAAGATCTTCTACGCCGATACCGGCAAAATCTTGAACATCAGCACCGAGGGAGAAACGAACAACCCCGTCCTCCTCCTCAAACGCGACATCAACGCCATTCCGCCGCGACGCATGCTGGAACGCGACGAATCAGAGCTAGGCCACGTCTCCGACAGCCAGGATGACGAGGATGAAGACGAGCCTGACGAGCTCCAAGCCCAACTCGACGCCCAGCTCAACAACAACAATAACCATCATGACGACCACCCCGGCTTCCACGAAGACTCGATCCCTTCGCAATGGCGCCTCCCCAAAGACCTGGACCCGGAATGGATCGCCTTCGAAGTCTACACCGAAGAAGAGTCCTCCGACTCGGACACCTCCGACGCAGAAGACGACCCCGCCTCCGAAGCAATGGCCAAGCTCTCCCTCAACCCGACGCACAACTCCCCCGTCCCGACCCCAGCCTCCACCACATCCACCTCCACCAAACGCTCCCCACGCCCCCATCCCCCGCAGACCACGACCGTCTCCAACCCACATTTCAGCAACATCCGCACCTCGCTCTCCCTCCTCGAGACCCTCCTCCGCCTCACCTCCCTCCAGCAATTCCAGCAACAATCCCACCTGTCCATCAGCGACGAGCTCCTGAACTTCTTCCTCGAGGAGTCCTCCACCACCGGCGCCGGCGGCGACGAACAGCACCGCCAGCGGCTCCGCACTGACGCTCGCCGCCGCGTCGGCTGGGATCCTTACGACGAAAGCCCCGTCAAGCGCCGCGGCGAGGACTACCAGTACGCCTACGATGCCCATGACCATGACCCCCGGGGCACCACCCCGCTCCGCTACGGCCGCGACGACGAGAGCGAGTACCCCTTCTCCCCCAGCGACCGCGTCCGCGGCTTTCACCTCCGTTCTCGGGAGGCCACACCCGAAACGCCCTTGTCCTCTGTTACGACTGGTGGTGGTGGCGGCGGGCGGGCGGAGAGGCATCGTCATCACAGTAAGCTGCGGATGGCGAGTGGCTCGTCGTCGTCGTTGCACGCGGAAGACAGAACATCGCGAAGGGGGTCCCCGCTATCGAGACGGTCTACCCCCGTGCCCAGTGTTGAGGGGTCGGAGCATTAGAGCCCATGCACGCCCTTTGACCTGGGATGAAAGAATTGAACCCCCCACCCCCCCAACAAATCTATGTATTTATCGATTGTTTAAAGAAGGCCGTACATTGCCACATACATAGTTCTAAATAACGCAAGGTAATGATCTGATCTACGAGCTTGTGACGAAAGGTGGTGTGCTCTGCGGAACTATGTTTTGAATACTTCTAGAGTTTGTGTAGATTCGGTATCTGTAAGGATGATGGTAGACATTGGAAATGGATGGATTACTACTCATCTGCGTTACTGTGCCACTGCCTGGCAAACCAAGTTCCCTCCTCGACCATGACTAAAATACCACTAATGGAGGAACCGGGAACCGGAGGGGGCAGTAGATGAACACTAAGCTAGTTGGATACGCACGGGTTGCTGGCGGGTGGAAGGCCGGGGCAGAGGTGATAAATACGTGATCAGAATTTGGGGGAAATGAGATATGATATCAGAACGGGGATTCTTAACGCCATCACAATCAAAGAGGTTGGAATTTAGAACAGGCAGCCATAACTCCTTGCAAAAAAGGACTAGGTAATAGTAGGAGGAAGGGGATTTCGAATCCTTCAGACCAGCCAGCGGTCAGGTGTATGCGGTTGAGGTAGGGAGGAGAGACTTGAAAACGCGGGATGCTACTGGGTGGATTTACGCGAGAAGAGACAATTACTCCCAGTCGTCGTCGCTGTCATCGTCCTTGGGCTTCTCCTTGGGGCTTGCGGGGGTGCGGCTGGTGGCTCCGCTGACGAGATCGTAGCTGGATTCGCTGTCGGGTTGGGATTGCTGGTCGTTGGAGCGACGGGGCTCGGTTGGGTTGGCGGGCTTCACGGTGGTGGCGGCGGGGGCGGTAACGGTGGTGGTGGCAGCAGGGACAGGGGTGGCGGTCTGAGTAGTAGTGGTGGGGATGGTGGCAGTAGTGCTCGATTTGACCTGAGGGGTGGACGGGGAGTCGGTCTCCTCATCGGAGTCATCGTCCCACTTCACTTCCTCGTCATCGACGGTTGCACCTGTAGCTCATTGTCAGCAGGAGTGATACGACAAAAGCCGCAGCCGACATATTGTAACCATGGCAAGAAAAGGACATAGACATACCCTGCAGAAGTTCCTTGCGCTTCTGTTCCTCTGTCTCAATAACCAGACGAAGGAAGTAGTATCTGCACCAGAAGGTGGCGTATTCCACCTTCTCGGGAACCAACTTCTCCATCGCCGAGCGCAGCTCAGGATACTTCTCGAGATCGGCCGCGATCGCCTCGGTCTTCTCCGCGATCATGAACTCCTGCTTGAACGCCGGCCAGAGCTCGCTGAGCGGATCGTTGGTGAAGCTCTCCAGGGTCGAGTGGATGACGTGCAGCTGGGCCTCGAAGCGCGTGGCGTGAATGACCCGCTTGCCCTCCGCATCCTTGCTCTCGAACAGAAGCTTATCTCCGGAACCCTCACTGCTCGGAGGCACGATGCTGACCGCCTCGCGCAGTTTCTGGCCGATGTTCATGCCAAATCGCAAGATCGCCTCATCGGCAGCCTCCTCCGCCTTCTCGATTTCCTTCAGTCGACGGGCCGCCTCGGCCTTGAAGCGGGAAAGGAACCCCTCACCCGGCTTGGAAGCCGAAGCTGAAGAAGCATCCGCAGCGCCGCCGGCATCGAGGCTTTTCTCCCCAACAGTCAACGATGCATCTGCCTCGACCTTGGAGGAGGTACCGGTCGGCGTAGACGTCTCGTCCTTGCCGGTGGTGCTGGCCCCTGCGCCGGTGGCCCCTGAGCTGAACGCCGTGCTCAGGGAGAGACCCCGCGTGCGCCCGACGAGACTGCTCCTCAGGTCAGAAAGGCCCTTGGCGGCCTCCTCGCTGGCAGCAGCATACTCCTGGCGGGCCCCCTCATAATAGCTCTCGCCCTGCTTGCGGACGTTATCCCAGAGTCCACCGATGCGTGCACCCCAGGGGCTGGCGGAGAAGGCGCGGAATGTTTCTTGAAGCTCCGCGTTGAGATCGACGTTGGGGCGCTCCGTCTTAGCGGGCTCGTTCTGGTCGGTTTCCTTTTTCGAGGCCTCGTTGGGAGAGAAGATCTCCTCCTGGATGTGGTCGTACGCTACATCCATCTCTGTCAGTTGGAGATAACGAGCGAGTTGGAGTTGGAGTTGGGAACTCAAATGACGGAGCGGCGGGTCAATGGGCAGGCGGGCGGTTTGGTTCCCGGGGTTACGACGGCCCGACCGCCCCCACGTAGTTTCAGGGTCTACTTATATTAGGTAGTAGTCTACAGCTGCGATAAGAGGCACAAGTGCAGGGTGGTATGTAGGAAAGATGTAATTAAATTGCTTGTCATTCATGTACTCATATCATTATGTATCATATACTTGGGTGTCTTCAAACTCAATTCTCGGAAATTACGTTCCCTTGGGCGAGCTGTAGGGTTCTCCAACTGTGTCCTGACTATCCATCAAGAATACCGGCAGTGGAATGCTTTCCATCACGCTTGAGGTGAGTAGGTCACTTCTCCTGATCAAGCCGCGAGGACCCGAGTCATCTTGATTCTGGGAGCGATTACGATGCCTGTCTGCTGGCTGTGACGACTCGACTTGTACTATATCTCGCGAAGCAAGACAGTGAGCGGGCGTCCGGAAATTGGCGCTTCCGCTATCATGTCGTACAATGGGCGAAGATTCCGGAACAAGTTCAGTCAATGTCTGATCTGAATCTATGCACGTCTCAGGATCCAGAGATTGGGTCTCAGATGCAACAGTCATGCGTTTGGGAGTTTTAGAAGATGGCTCTGTCAATGACATGGTAGCGATGCTTTCATCGTTGCGTTCATCCGGAAATAGCTCGGCCAGTCTCTGGGTGTTCAGATTGGGCACTGGTCCAAGGGGGAACTGAGTGGCTGGCTGGATTCTGTGATAGTATATCGATGATGCATCTGAAGTGGGATTATCATCTAGATGCAGCTGCTCCGACTCTTCTTCCATCTCCGGAGGAGCCATTGGAGGAAGAGCCTGTGAGCTCTCTTCTGTGGCATCTTCATGCTCGAGATTGGCTGCACCGGGATCGTAATGCGGTACCTTCCTCTGTCGAGGTGATTCGATGGGATTAGGCAGATCATCTTCCAGGTCACCGTAATCTGTTTCCGCGTCTGTCTCATATACCACGGTTCTCTGAGTATTAGGGACATGTTCACTGATTCTATGATGCTCAATGGACTCCTCCGACTTCACTTGTTCGGATAATAGAGCAATGCTTCCTTGGTCACTGGCGGAATTGCGCGGTAATGGCGAGTCTGGAACCAAAGCGGCAGGTTGAGATTCATTAGATTCTGGAATTTCACTCGGCGGGCTATGAGACGCTTTTTTGATGCGTTGCAAGAGTGGCGATTCTTGCTTTATACACTGGCCTGCAGTGTCGGCAGCGTCGCGCTTATACGGCGAATGAGTTGCGGTACGGAACTGCGAGGAAGTGATGAATGCGAGACCCGAGCTTTCAGGCGACTGAGACGACGGTATCTCACGCTCCCGCTTCGCCCGAGGGGTCACGGAGCCAGGGTCTAGAGGGTAATTTTCCTTCTCATTTTCCAATTTGACCTTCGTATCAGCAGCGATGCTCAATTTTCGTTTCTTGCCTCCGCTTGAGGCCTCTTGGTCGGAGAAACGGTCCGACTGCGGGGCCAGATTACCAGCAGAGTGCCGATTCGCTTGCTTCCTGTCGTTCTTTTTTGGCGTGGTATAAGTATATTCCAACTTCACCTCATCGTCCGGTTCTATCTTCAGATAGCGCCGCACATAGTCCATCTGTGTCAGAGTCTTGTTGCCCTTCTTTGCATCCTTGTCTAATTTGTTGCCCTTGACGCCTCCGCCACTCTTCCTGCGCTTCGACTTCGAGTCTACTTCGCGCGGATGACTGGACTTCGAGTGTCCGGTCGATGTACTGCGCGGCCCTTGTTCGAACCTGACCCCGCGGGCTCGGCGAGGCTGGCGACTGGATGGCGGCCGATACTCGTCATCGTTGTTCGAATCGTCATCGAGCTCTATCACTTCATGATGGGCTTGCCGGCCCCGCTGCGGTTGCTTCTCATTGAGGTACTGGAGGCTTTCATCTGCGCGGGCTGGCGGGGGTGTGGGCGTCACAAAGTCGATCTGCGTGAGGGTGGTTTGATCTAACGTGCTAGGGACATGATTTCGTTTGGACGACCTTGCGGAGAACGAAGAAGACGCCGGCGGGTCGCACCAGGACTGGCCCTTGGCTGCATTCGCTATACTGGTCGAACGGCGTGCTCCCGAAGAAGGCCTGTCCGGCGTTTGGAAGGATGGGCTGTGACTCGTCTGGGCGGTGGGAATAGTATTCTCCCCTTGGTTCATCGCAGATTGAAACGGTAGGATCGAGTGGAATAATCACAGTGAGCCATAGGAATATGTTATAGCAGTCTTGTTTCTGTGGACTGGGCGCTTGGTGCTGGTTAACTGACTCCGACCGGGCCCGGGTGCTAAATTGATTTCCCCGTTGAGGCAAATCGCGTCGCGCGTCGGACCCGTTCTTTGAACGTGGTCCGTGCACCCGCAGGCACCGAGGCACTCATCCTTCGTCATCGCTCCTGCTGTTCAATGATGGATCCCCGTCTTCTTCTCATCAAATATACTGGTAGGGTGCGCTCAATCTGAAAGGGGCTCAAGTCTTTAAATATGAGTCACAGTTCAAGAGAATCTAAGATCCAGCTGTCAGAAGTGATATACCCTCTGTTCCTAAAGTTTTGAATGTACTTAGACGACCCCGGTAAAGTGTCAAAACCCGCCCACGGAAGTCTTACATACATCCAGTGGGACAGAAGCCATTGGCTGCTTGGAACACATCTACGTTTCTTTTCCTCAACAGGCTCGACCACCGGTAGAGTGCAAAGCTACAGTATCATGTGTAAGCTTTAATCATGCATTGCGTCACAGATACGTTCCTCCCGAGCATGATAGTCCACCGCAAACTACGAAGACCTTAAATGAGGGTGAACAACCACAAAAGTCGACAGACCTCAGCCATACATTAAAAACAGCATTGTGATTACCGGGTACCGACTGCTTTCGAGCGATCTAGAACCTCAAATTTTCCCTTTGAGCGACTATGCTGTCAAGATCCCTGAAATTGAAGGCGCCGCTTCCGTGGACGCGGTTATGCTACTCTGACCGTCGATGTATGGCACACGTCGCCGATATCGCTGAAATACCAACTGTGCGTCAAGATACAGAGTGTACATCATATTCATAGATCACTCCTGACCGTCGACTACTATATAGGACGATGACAAGCCATTCAGAGTCCCGATCGCAGAAGAAAGCTATGAAACATACAATCTCGAGGCACCTCCACATACCCTCGAAACAACGAAAAGACAACTCAAACAACTATACCATGACATGTTCATGATCAGGTCAGTTTATCTCTTCGTATTGGGCCCAAAAAATTGACACCGCCAACCTAGAGGCACATACTTACAATTCCCCGCAGGCGCATGGAGCTGGCGGCCGACAAATTATACAAGGAAGGGAAAGTCCGTGGTTTCTGCCATCTATCTATAGGCCAGGAAGCCGTGGCAGTGGGGGTTGAACATGGGATCTCCAGGGACGACAAGCTCATCACCGCCTACCGCTCCCACGGAACCACCTTGATGCGCGGCGCCACCGTCAAGTCTATTCTCGGGGAGCTGCTAGGACGCCAAGATGGCATCTCCCACGGGAAAGGCGGTTCCATCCATATGTTCCGAGAGAATTTTTTCGGTGGGAATGGCATTGTGGGATCGCATGTTCCGGTTGGAGCGGGAATCGCATTTGCCCAGCAATACAGCAATCGAGATAGTGTAACCGTCAACATCTTCGGCGACGGTGCGGCAAACCAGGGTCAAGTCCATGAGGCCTATAACCTGGCCAAGCTGTGGGATCTGCCTATCATCTTCTGTTGTGAGAGTAAGCTATTTCGCACTCTTCTTTGCATCCCTCCTCGTGGCGAGACTTCAAGTTTCCATCGCCGACATAACGCTAATGGCCAACCCTAGACAATAAATATGGAATGGGCACATCTGTGCAGCGATCATCTGCAATGACCGACTTCTATAAGCGCGGCCAGTATATCCCCGGCTTGCGCGTCAACGGGATGGATGTCCTCGCGGTTCTGGCTGCGATGCGTTACGGCAAGGCATTCGTCCAAGCGGGCAACGGACCGTTGCTGTACGAGTACCAGACCTACCGGTATGCCGGACATTCCGTGTCTGATCCAGGCACGACATATCGGTCCCGAGATGAGATACAGGCCGAGCGGCATCATGATCCTATCTCCGTTCTCAAGGATCAATTGACGGAATGGGGTGTAATCTCGGAGGAGGACACGAAAGCGATGGAGAAGGAGGTTCGCAGCAAGGTCGACCGCGAGGCGGACGAGGCAAATCATATGCCTGCCCCGGAGCCAAGGTTGGACGTGCTGTTCCAAGATATCTATGTCCCTGGTAGCGAGCCCCTGCAAAGGCGGGGTAGAACCGTCGACGAGACGTACTACTAAGACGAACAGGCCAGGCCACTGAAGGGTGTCTCCTCATAGTGAATCATAGCATGTGATCCGCATCCAGCTGTGTGGGATATATCAGTGCGCAAGAGACCCTTTTTCCCCCTGCACTCGTAGGAGACTCATCGTAACCTCGACATCCCTAGCTCCTAAGCAAGAAGCGAGTCAGCTAGTACGAACCAACCAACCGACCCAGATCAAGATGGTTTTCCAGACCCCACCCATGACCACCCCGGAGTACTGCACCGCAGACTTCTCGCTTATCCCCGTACGTACTATTTTCACCAACACCTAAGACCCCCCTCAACTCTCTCCTCCGAAACCCATGAATCAACCATCAAAGCAGAGTCCTCACCCCAAACAACCAAATAGATCGGCTCCAAAGACGTCTCCTTCTCCAAGCAAGTCGCCGAGATCCAGCGTTTGATCCAGAACACCGGCCTCAAGTCCCAGATGCATGCCACCGGCACCACCATGGGTGAGTCTAACCTCCGGGTAGAACGAACCTTTGTCAAGAAGCGAAGAATCCCTGACGATGAGATGATCGGAAAGAGGGAACATGGGACCAGGTATCGCAGACCATCGGATGCGCTCACACCATGATCCATAACGAGGGGGTGGGCAGGATCCAGACGGATATCCGCATCGCAACACGGTAGGTCAGATACGCTTGTATTTTTTTTTCTGACATGGGGAAGGGGGGATGTTATGCTGACGCGTTGTTGTTGTTCTTGTTGACAGGACCGATAAGATGCAGCCGATGGAGGAGAGTATCTCCTCCGTGCAGCGGGTGTTGTCTACTTGATTGTGATGCGATGCGAGTTGTGTTCGGGGATACGAAAAGTGACGATTGGTGCTTTGTGTTGCTTGGTGGAGTGCGGATTGTTGTACTGGGATGGATGATGGAGTAGGCTAGGTTTAGTAATGAAATTGTCCCTTTTTGTCTTCTTCGAAATGTAGTAGACCGAAGGCTGTGACTGTAGGTTGTGGGTTTGGTGATAGAAGCATTGAGGAGGTGTCTTCTGCTACGGAGCTGGAGCACCCGGACAATTCGTGTCTAGTGTGTTTTCTAAAGACGATATCTCTTTGAGAACGTCGGAGTATGTAGGCTCAGCAGAAGAGTTTTCTTCAAGCACCAACTACACCTGAAGAACTAGACAACCCCCAACCCCTTAATTAGCCTGGCTAAGAGATATATCACGACATGATATGATTACAAGACCACTAAAATCTTGGCACAAATGATGAAAGTAAGACAAGGACATGAAGAACTCCTGTCCCAAGGAGGAACAGACATCAAGCTCTGTACAGGACATTGGATAAGTTACTTTCCACATCGTCCCCTTTCCCAGAGTCGAATACTAAATGTATTTCATGGCCGCAGATTCAGCAGCGCAGCCAAGACCGATCGCTATATAACCGAGCAGGCTGCTGAGCACATGGGCAATCGACGGATTGATATCAACTCGACGTCATACAGCAGGGGGGCTCCTTCATCGAAGAGTCCAAGTGGCATGGAGAGCGGTTTCAATAGCTGCAGCTACTATGTACTAAACCACAACACCCAGTCACACTCACCCCCCTGTGGGCGGGACGTGGAGGGGTGGCGATGGTATGAAGAACAGCGATGTAATCGATTGCCACTTCGAGACACATACATGAAGAACTGCCAGACCAAAAGCTCGGTTGCAGCTCCGATCAGCAATTTGACAAGGGAGTAGGCCTGGTTAAAAGCAGTGGGTGGTTGTTCTTGTCGCTTTCCTACTCGGATGGAGATTCGAGGCCTCTAGGAGTGTTTCCCATGTGTTTTGCGGAGGGTCATTGTTGCTTCTGAATCTCTGCTGACATCGAGGATAGATCTATTGTACTGTACCTAGTAAGAGCTAAAGATAGCGTACGGTTGGTTTAATAGGGTCATGCACTCAGTGATGGCCGGGATCGGGGACACTCTGACCCGTTGGTTGTCGAGGGGGTAGGAAAGCATTGACCCCATCTTTCATGTTTCAAGTAAAGCAGGCGTCGCATGTGCAACAAAGACTTGGTCTGTAGGTGCGCGTTGACTTACTGATTCCAACTCTGTAGGCGAGCGAAGAAGTCCATTGACGCGGCCGAATAACGTAGGATCCCCTTTCGGTGATAGTCATTGTAGGTTACCTTCCATACACCGGTGGGTTCTTCCAGTATCTGGATAATCGCAGATAGCCACATGCAAGGCAAGTTTTCGGAACAATTGATAGAAGGTGTGTGGCGGGGAGGAGGGGGGTTGTTGTTGATTCATACGTTGTATGGTTTTAGTGACATACAAACTGTAACCTCGTTGCATACAGTACGTCACACATACATGGTATACCAACGTGTCTCACCGGAAGATAAGCAAAAGGATTGCTCAAGTCTTTAGAACCCTGGAATCTGTGGGGATCCGGCGGGCTGGGATGGCTTATGCCAATGGAAAGGTGATATTGGTGGTAGACACCGACCACCTGGCAGGAGATGGCAGGCATCTTCTCCCGGGAGATTTAGGCAACCCTGCTCTCGGTAGAAACTAGATGCCTAGATGCCTAGATGCCCTGTCGTTGCTACACTGCCTCCCTCCCCCTGCAAACACACATATGCACACATACATAGGTAGCCCTCTCCTGCGGAGAAGCAAGTGATTAGGTGGTACAAAGAGCATGGTGGAGGCCCACCTGATTCGTGCAAAGTCTTTTTTGTGCATTACGGTGGTGAAGAGCTAGAGAACTAACTCTTGGCATGATGCCCTTGCTCTTCCATTGTTCTCATGAGGCTCGACAATCTTCCCCGATCAGGACGGATGTGCGTAAACCTCGCCAGCAACAGTCACTAGTCAAGTATTTGTCAAGTCGAGAGCGGGACTTCCATACTGAGCTACTGAGCTGCCTCTGGGACAGTCAGTCATCTTCCCCTTCGCTTTGTAAAGTCTCCGAGATGCAATTCCACTGGATCTATTTGTAAATCTTCAGCTGTCCACTGCCAGATGAAGTTTGAAGTTGCCCCAATAGAGAAATTGGTTAGACATGCTGAGTGATGCTGACATAACTGTGGCTATCAGGACTTGCATCTACGTATAGGTACCATCCTATGCGCTTGTTCATGAAGGCGCCAGTCGGTGAAGCGTCGGAAATGAGGCAAGATGGAGCTATAAACAGAGTTGTCTCTACTTAGGGAGGCAAAGAGGATCTCTTCGAGCGGCTTCATCCCCCACGCCGAGGACAGCCATAGGCTGGAACATTGGTTGCGAACATGGGGTTTTGGTGGAAGATCATCTAATTTTTCCCTTTAGTCTAGTGTCCCGTTTTTTTTTTAATCTGGAACCGGCCCCATTCCCCCTGTGCTCGACCCAGTTGCGAGGAGTCGGACTGTCGGATGGTCTGCCTTAGTAGACTATCGGGCAGGAACAACGAGCCGAGCTCTATGCAGTATTAAGACCCACGCGCTATCAACAATATTTTGGCTGCTCATTGGCGAAGAAGAGTCCCAAGGCAGGGATCTAGGAGCCGTTGCGGTGACTTGTCCTTTCCTTGATGGCTATGCTCTCATGGTGCAGTAGCTTTCCGGCCGGCCACTTGCTATACTGTTCTAAGCATTAGTGAGACCAGTAGTAGGGTTGGCAAATAAAGCATTGCGAGCTAGCGAGTGCTTTTTTGGGGTATGGGAACCTTTCAAATCCCGAAAGTCTCTCTCACTCAAGCGATTGTTGCCATGACCAGCGTGCAAGTTTCTTCTTCCATCGCTCTGCTCTTCCTTGTCTTGCCGACGACTTCCTTCCTCCCTCCGCCTGAAGGGCCTCGGAGTGTGCATGCTACTTGTCTATCAAAAAAGCACTTGCATCGTTCTGATTCTTGCCGAATAACATCATCGCTTCATGTGGCCAGCCTTCATGACAGACTGTCAGTGACACTGACACGAGTTGCCTGATAGGGAGTAGATGTGACATCACTCGAATTTCGGAATTTCCTCGAGCAGGATGGCAGATGGACTCCGTCATCGATGATTCCAGATTAACTTCGCCTAAGCTCCGTCCGATGGGGGTCGCCGACTGGGTTGCCTTCACAGGACTGGTGTTGACACTTGTCACCTTGCCTACCTTACCCCACCATGCCTATACAAGTCAATGCACCTGGATTAGGCAGGACTCTAAAGGACAAATCCGATCAAACGTCAGGTGGATTATGGAGTTCTAGATCTGACACCCGGAGACTTTGCTCGCCTCTTTGCTCACCATTGAAGTCGACTAAAAGAGAGAGGTATCCACCACGACGAACATAGAGCTAACCAATTAGCCCTAGACAGAAGCCTTTTGTAGCCTCAGCATCAGGTTATGCCCCTAGGTCCTTGGTCGACGATGGTGCAAAGCCCCATAGTCTAAGTCCTGGGTCGGAGATGGGGGCACTCTCCGAATCGGGAAGTAACGACTTTCAGTTGAGCTGAGCCTGAGTGTGAGTGATTCCTGCCGTAGTGTTCTTACCCCCTCTCCTATGAACATCACCAGCTCACCAAGCTCATATACTAACAGTGCCAAATCTCTAGAAGCGAGGAGTCAGCACTTTCAATTCATTTTTCTATCACTGCCCACACTGCGCTTTTTGATAAGCTGTTATAGTTTAACTGTGTCATGTTTACTTCCGCCAGGGACTCTGACGATGGATTGCAAAACAGACAGTGAATCATGGGATCTGATTTGCAGATCGGCAAAATTATGGTCTAGACTAGATCTTGGTATTGAAAGAAAAAAAAATTGCTTGACCGGCCATTGCAGTACTATGGTAACGAGGTACTAAAGGCCCGAAGTTTGTACTTGGGGGGTTCGTCTGCTCGGATCCGGAAACGGAAATAGATTTACCTCAATGATCCACCACCATTTTGCAGTGACTCAAACTATGCTACTCTGTACAAGCTCTCTCTTGGCAGCAACGAGGCAGTAAGAGTAAGATGCACCGTGGCCGTCACCCCATTGGCACCGTTTCCACAGACTGCCGGGAAAAGTGCCTCCTTCTGGACTACGGCCCAAGATTTCACTTAACCAACAGCCATCCTCAAGAAGTGAACATGGACTGTGACAAGCAACCTGGAGGCTGCACTGTGCGTAACATGACCAGAGTTTCATTGTATGCATTGTCACTTCATGAATACCTGTGTACTGTACTGTACCTTAACGTGCTCTGTTTACCTCCTCCCCGTCTCTTTCGGCTGTTCGAAAAACTGGATCGCCGCCCCGCAGATGCATCCTGTAGGCGCGCGCGGTGGAAACGCACCGTATCCGCTGGGAAGGTCCGAGAATCCTGAAAGAATGACCAGAAATTTAACTCAGATTGCCTGCGACTGTCGTACGATGTAGGAAAACCAGCACTAACTTAGGCATGGAAGCCGGCCGAGACATGCCCGGTGATACTCTCTACTCAGGGTGTGTGCACATGTACTGCGCACACAACTACGTATGTACAACATAATCTGTATAGGCCAACGCCCGGTTCACCATCTGGTATATTGTCGTGCCTCTAAAGGCTATGGAGCAGAGCCTGTGTATCTTATTTCGCCCATTCCTGCCACCTAGGCTCTTGTGTCGTTGCAAGCTTCACAAAGGACAAAGAATTGACAACGAGCAAACTCCAATTGGAACCGGTTCAGGGTAAGGGTGAACGACGATTAGCTTTCGCGTTCAGATGCGGGAGCTTCCCGGCATAACCGCAAGTGGAGTTTGACCTTTGGATTTGAAATAGTGGAGGCATCAACACGGAGCGGTCGAGGGAGGCCACTCGAAGGATGCGATGCTTGCGATTCCACCATACTGGGTGGGTCAGCTAGGATCCGACAGCCAGGATCCGACAGACTGGATACGGCGGTAATTCCGTGCCTCCTGTCTATTTCGGCCATTTTACTGTAAAAGAGGGGGAGGCCGTGTCTTCAGATGCCCATGTCCAAGACAACTATTTTTATTTTTTTATATTTTTTCATAATACTTATGTTGTTGAATGAGAGGGGTGAGGGGGTGAAGAGGATTGTCGGACACGGAAACGCAAGTCGTAAGACTGGACAAGTCTAGTCGCTTCACTCTCCTGCTCTCCCAGTCTGGTTTTGCCAGGCCTAAGCCTATAGTCAAACGTTTCTCATCTATTAAACTTCGGTCGCGTCGTGGAAAAATTACACAGAGCTCTCTTACGAGGATCATGCAGCCTGCATACGCGCAACAGACCTTATTAGTGAGAGGTAGCTTAGTGTTCAGTAGTTATAGTAGTTAGCAAACAGCACCATTCCAAAACTCAGCCCAGTCGGATAATGTGGGAGCGATCCAATGATGGGACTTTCCAGCCGTGTGGCACCAACAGCCATTGGATCCCGGGTGGTTTTTCTGAAGATCTTCCACAAACTTACCTCCCTGCACCCGTGATTGTCTCCCAGTGTCGTACAAGAACCAACCTACAGCTTGTTACCTTTCTCCGAAGTACAGTACCCGTTGCCCCTTCCTATCTTTTTTCTTTTTTTCCCCTTTTGATAGATGCGGAGATTTCTGGTGCTGTGATAAGACAATGTATCAGCTTTGAACGACTGCCACTGCCTCAGTAGTAAATAAACCTCCGTATCGTGTTGCAGATATCGGGTATATCTAGATCTCTTGCGCCATTGGGATTAAATCCCAGCTCGGGTGGATGAGAGAACCCCTTTCAAATTTCAACTCCCTCCTCTCTCTGATTAGCGAATCTAATCTATAGTGTAATGAGCCTTTTTCTCCACTATGATATTCAATACCATCCATGTACGTACTCATTCGTACACACCCCATTGTAGAACGCACCCGACAGGCTGGAACGCCCGTGCGCTTTTAGCCCGATGTTCTTCTACCGGCTACTTAGTGCTTGAGTACCGATGCGTAGTGCAATAGTAAAAAGAAATAAGGATAAGACAAGCCACATATAAGGACTGCCAAATTAAAAAAGTAAACATACCGAGAATCAAGACCAAAGAAGAGCCGTGAGGGATATCGACAGATATGATGAACGTGTTCATTTTGAGCTCCTCTTCAATTCCTCCTTTTACCCCTCCCTCTTTGCTGCTAGTAAAACACTCCCACTCTTAGCAATTGCTCCGCGTGAACTCTACCATGGCATGATCCTGGTCTTAAGCGACGTCGGACCCGAACCAAGGATACTAGAAGGAATGTCTATATCTGTTCCAACGATCCAGGGATCCCTGCAATAAGCTTGGGACTGATTCGAGGTTCCCCCTCCCCGTGATGTTAGGAACTTCGAAGCTCGGTCTTTTATCATCTCTCCGGGCTGGGGTGTTTTTTTTTTCTTTTCTGTTCTCCGAGGCTCAATGTCTTGGGCTCCACTCTCTTTCAGTCTGTCTTGCTTCAGAATGAGCGGAGACACAGTTGGTTTTTTTTTTCTCTTTTTTTTTTAGTTTTTTTTTTGTTTCCCTCTCATCTGTTCCTATGTTCTGTTTCTCCATTAGTAAATTTTCTTCTCTCTCTGTCTGTCCCTCCCGGCCCTACTCCCGGCCCTACTCTTAAGTGAAAAGGGGGATTCCCGGTTTCTTACTCGCTACAGCTGGAAGTCACGAGATAATTATCCGTAACTACGTAGTAGCAAGTGCGGAGGGATTTAAACATCCATCGAGCGAGACTAATGAAAAGTACGAGTACGTATGTCCATCGTACCTTTCACCATTCAAGGTAGATAGTAAGTAGTATAGGCAGAGCACAGAGTACTAAGTTAGTCACATTAGTCGAATTTAGAAAACCAAAAAGTTATGTGTTAATGACCGGCAAGTTCTTGATGGGGCGGGCTTTGCGTGCATCCGTCTGGGTTGCTGGGCTTGTTTGTCCCGCCGCCCGAACCGCCCACTTGGTTCGCAGGGCCGCAGCGGTAATCGTAGTGTAATAACGCCCCGTCCGCCGGGGGGGGGGGAGGGGCCTTCCTGAGCGCTAACTTGTAGTAAGTACAGTATTGTATATACACACTAGAAACCAGAAGATGACGAGAAGCTACTTATAGTTGGAAGTTATCAGGCCCGAAAAACCACGTATTTCATGGGGCTATAATATCGTTCTTTATGATTTATGAAATAGGAATATTACAGCCATTCATGATGATTTTGAATTATCATTTTTATTGGCATCCTTTTTCTCCTGTCAAATTAAGTTAAACATTGGGAGACGAATCCTTCCCCCCCCTCCTCGTCCTCATCAAGTCAAACTTAATCCAGGCTGCCGGGTCAGTTCAGGTTACCAGGAGAAGAGGAAAAGACAGCCGATGTCTCCTACTACCTTGCCCATCATTGCCCCCCTCCCTCCCTTCACGTTCTCTGCTTAGCTAGCTACCGTCATTAACAATGAAGGCTATGGCAGGTATTTAATCAAAATTAGAGTCACTTAAAAACTGCCCAACATTTCTCCAGATCTGGCTAAGGTCCCTAGATCCTCACTTCCAGATTTGCAAGTCCTTATATCGGTACAACAACAGACAATTCGTAATTCCCTCCTCGCCATCGTCCATCACATTGTTGCCCAAATTTCTCTCGTAAGAAACTTTATGGCTGCGTGCTGGAGAGGGAGACGTGATTCTTGTCACTCCTCATCTTGATTGTCTATCATCTGGGAACGTTTACCGAGACCAAGGCTTGGATGCGAACTACTTTTGCTACTACTACTCCTACTCCTACTACTACCAAGTTCACCCCACTCGAGACCTGGCCCCTAAAAGTCTTGCTACTCGAGTCTGCCAGTCCAATGGCTGGTGCAAGGTCGGCCGTAAGCATATCTTTCCCTCTAGCTTTATGTGGAAAAAGAAAACCTACTTCATTCCCTTGTTGCCGTTGTGGTCCCCGTTGTTGTTGTTGTTGTTGTTGCTATTTGCCTTAAAACACCTGCTTTCTCGTCAAATCGCCACCTACACTTTGCCCGCCCCCAACCGGCCCCATTGAGCCTCTACTGACGAACAATGGCACAGGCATCGAATCGTGAGGAGTAAGTCCGATTTCATGTTTTACAACTCGATGGCAGTCGGTTGAACCTTTCGAGGTTCTATTTCTCATAAGTTATACCGGTGTTGACTGACTATGGCAGTGAGACACAGTCGTTAACAGCAAGCGTGACGGACTATCCTATGGAACATGGAAGACGATACCATAAATATCATGAAGGCTGTACGTCTGCAGAGGATCGACCATGTGGACAAGGACCCCCTCTAACAACATTCCTCCAGCATACTTGTACCCGAACGATGAACAGGAACTGGATCGAATGGATATGCAACACCACATGCTCAGACTAGTCAACCACGGGCGCTTGTACTTCGCGCCTGTCCAACGCCCAAAACGGATCCTCGACATTGGTACTGGTTCTGGTATATGGGCTATCGAGATTGGTAAAAATTCCCCCCCCGCAGATTGACCCTGCTTACCTGTCATCCGATCGATCAACTCACATGGTTGCCGCTTCTCGCCCATAGCATCCGACTTCCCAGAAGCCGAGATCACAGGAACCGACCTGTCTCCTGTTCAGCCGCTTGAAGTCCCCGAGAATGTCCACTTTCTCGTCGACGACGCCACGGAGGAGGACTGGCTGTGGGACCCGGATCACTTCGACTTCATTCACACGGGACATCTGATAGGATCTCTACCGTCGTACAAGGACCTGCTGAAGAAAGCACACAAGCACCTCAAGCCGGGCGGCTATGTGGAATGCCACGAGTTCGACTCCCGACTCAAATGTGATGACGGTACGATGCCTCCTGAGGACCCCGACAAGTTCAGCGACTATGCCCTCCAAGATCTCATGGACCTGCACTACCGCTCTGGCCAGGTCTCGGACCCGCCCCGACAGTTCCGAGTGGCCCATCGCCTCGCACGCTGGATGCGAGAAGTCGGATTCGAAGACGTGCAGGAACATCGGTCCATGGTCCCTGTGAATCCATGGTCATCCGATACACACCTAATGAAGATCGGGACCTGGAGCGAGACAAACCTGCTGGAAGCGGTCGCGGGATGGTCTTACAAGCCGCTCACCATACTGGGGTGGTCGAAGCCCGAGATCGAAGTATTCCTGGTTGATGTTCGGAAAAGCATCCAGAACCGCAACGTCCACGCCTACTACGAGTTCTATGCGGTGACAGGCAGAAAACCACTCGCTGGCTGAGTTGGTTCTGGTCTGCCTTCACTAATTTTAGCGGCATGACTCCTCACATATCCTCGGCTTACTTCTCTTCTTTGTGACCTATTGTTTTCTTTTTACTCCTTCTTTTTCTTGTATTAGCTGGCGCTGGCTGACGAGCGTATGGCATACGATACCACTGCGGCAGAGAGTTTGGTGCATTGGGAGGCGTGTCTCGGTCAATTGACTACTTGGAAATATCATGACATTTGGTTGCCATACTCTCACTTATAATAAGTGCCTTGTGCAGTATCCGACTGTAGGAAAAGACAGTGTTGGTCTATAGTATCCATGATCAAGGTAGCTTCGATTGTCACTCGTACTTATGCGGCGTATTCGAAAAGCAGATACGGCACAAAATAGATGCTCATGGCTCCAGTTTACTAGAAAGAAGACTTGCAAAATACACGATCATGCCAAACATGCAACAATCTTCTGGGTAGGTCAGGGTTGTATGTATGCTTCTGCTTGTTCATCAAGGGCGATTGATTACCAGGGGCAACGAATGAGGAATCAGGATTCCGTGATTACTCATCCTCCGCTGCACTGCGATTTCCGGGCCCGCGGTCTACCGGCCAAGAGGTTCCTTTACTATCAAAATCCCGCGCCCGCTTGTCCCAAACGAAACCAATCTCAGCAGGGCTTAATTCAAGTTCGCTCTCTCTTCTCGCACATGTCGATTGCCTCATGTCTCTCGGCAGACATGCCTACCGGCATGCTGTACATTCAGCCTCATCATCGTCGGGGTTAATCGACCACGTCTGGATCAGCGATGATCTGTTGGCGTCGACCTTCCGAAGCTTCGTCAAGAGTCAGCGACGCCATGCAAGCCGCGTCCCGGGCCCATTGGAGGCCCGACGACGGCTGGCGAAGAGGAAAAACTGCGCTCTTGCTCCAGTGACCGGTGCGCTGCCACCGGATCCCCATCTGTTTGGGCGCGGTGGCCGACAACATTTGCTGTGGAACAGCGATCACGCGCCCGCATCTTCACCACTATTTTCTCCATATGATAACCCACACTCGGTTGAACCCGATCAGGGGGAGCATACTCGCGCTGCTACGACGAGGATAATTGGATATGGACTTCAATCAGGGATTTCGCACTACGATTTACACCCTCCGCTCGCTCCAATTGCGCCTTTGTCGGGCGAAAACGAAACGTTAGATCCGGGCGGGTTTGTCGACTTGGGCAGCTCATCAGAAGCCGTTCCTTCTCCTCCTCCTTCTTTACCAACCGACGGCAACATGAACGATACGGCCGGATTCGTGGACCTGACTAGCTTGGCAGAATCCGAGCCTGGACCTGAGCTTGGTTCTTCAGGGCGCGATGTCGAGGATTCCGATCTGGGTGGATATGGCGACCCGGCCGACTCGTTTTATACCTCTCTTTCTCAACCACGCGGCAGCGAGGTGAATAAGCCAGGCACCTGTGTTGACTTGTCAGCGGAGCCTGCGTCTTCACACCCTGACAGTGATATGGTCGACTCAAGCGGATTTGTGGACCTCGTTAGCTCTTCTGCGTCTTCTCCCAAGCGGTCCAAGCGTGACCTTTCACATCTAGTTGACCCGAACGGTTTGCTTATCGATGTAGCCCGCTTCTCACATGCTTCGCTTTCTCCGCGCGACCCCGTGGTCACTGATCAGAACGGATTCGTTGAGTTGAACGGCCTATCAGAACCGGCGGATGATAGCAAAGTCCTTCCCTCCAAAGAAATTTTGACGAAGCGTTTGGAAACCTGCTCATCACTCGAGGCGGTCACGAACTTGATAAGTGCGATGAATATAGATCTTCAGCATGAGCCTGGCTACAGTCGCATAGTATTCGATCATTACTTTTCGCAGCTTGCGCTGGGCAAATCAAACGCCCAGGAGCTGTCTCTGTTTCTGGATCACCGGGCACTTAACACTCCAGGAGCTGGGGCTTTCCCATTTGTTGCAAAGTACATTATTCAACCAGCGACAGACTCACGAGAGCGTGCTGTATTGTTTGCGAGCATGCTCAGGGCTATCAGAGTCGGTGCGATAGTTCCGTCTGAGCTTCGGGAAGTCATCGGGACCCTGCAAAAGTTGCCGGATGTGGGGGTCGCCACGACGGACAGGCCGACAGTCGAGACACAACACAATAGCCCAAGCGGCGTGATGGAAGCATACCAGAAAATCTGTGATGTTCTTGATTCCACAGCGAAGGGCGGTAAATACCCGAGTCTGGACGAGGACACAGCCAATCTATGGCTTAAAATCATCTGGGAGCGGAATGTACTTGCTGAGTTGAGGCTGGCACACAGGATCCTGGCTCGTGCTCGGCATCTTCGTTCCACCTGTGCCTTCTGGGGGCCCCGGTTCATCATCCGCTGGCTTGGACTTCCGGACGAGCTTCGGAGTGAAATCGTTCCCTCCTTCACAACTTTACTCTTCCAAAGGTTTCACTACAATGCAGTAGGTGCAACTATCATATCGGTTACAGAGTATCTAGTTTTGGCTCAGAAGCAGCATCTGCTTCCCAGGTGGCACGACTGTTTGACCTCTATCCGCACGGTCAGAGACATCCCTAGGGCAGGGGCGTGGGTCGACGCACGGTCACAAATTCCAGCAGGATCGAGTCATTCTGGGTTGTCAATCCAACAACGCTTCCTTCTGCGCCTTTGGGTCTTCCGTGCTCTGAACTTGAGTCATGCAGCCGGCCCAACTTGGGATAAGAAGCCTCAGATGATAGGGATAAGGCATCTTATACATTCTGACTATGTACGGCCGATTGAGAAATGGGGGGCGCGAGTCCTCAGCCTTTACCAGGCTTGCCGAACGAACCATAAGAAGAAAGACCTCGTGAGCAGTATTTTAGATGATGCGCGTGAGTTGGAGCTGCCTGCCAATGGAATCACAATCTTGGCCCTTTCATACCAGACCAGAAATGCCCTCAACAAAACCACTAGGGCGGCTCTGCAAGCTTTAGAGACGTCGGACGTCTCCTTCAACGATCTGTTTCGAGACTTTGAAACGCCCTACACTCTCCTCCTTCAGTTCGCACGCGCCTTTTCGAAGATAGCGCGGGAGATAGACATCGAATCGCCGTCTTTCATGCAGCGCGCTCTAGAGCTGGCCAGAATTGGAAACCGGTCAGAAGTCCAACTGTTGTTTCGGATTTTCGACTGGCATGTACCCCTCAAGATCGCCCTGGCGAGGTCATGGCAGCCTCCTCCCGATCCTTCCCATCATGCGCTCGTGGTCTACGAGCCTCGGGACAGCAGAAGGCACCCCGATCCTCACGCCGCGCTCAATATGATAAACACTTTTGCGGTGGCTCTGTCATGTTCACAGAGTCTCACCCCGCGGCAATCCTATCGATTGGTTTGTTGGCTGTACGTATACTTGATGAGGCATCAAGCACCTGTGCAACCGATCATTGTCCGCGCTATGTATCATGCTGGCGTCGTGCGCGCCCGACGAGAAATGAGAGGCATGTTCTGCGAGGCGCAGTTCAAGTACATCATGCAAAAGGTACAACAGGTCGAGTCGCCGGAGGTTGTGAGAGCGTTGAGAGACCCGAATTTTGTGTGGAGGAACCAAGGAAGCGACTCGGTTGCTGGGAATTAATGCCTACCTTCGAGTTGGGTTTACATGCACTGGAGATCTTATTCCGCATTATTAGGTAGGTGTGGTTCGAGGCATGCTGGGACTGTTATTCTGTATCGCTTTCTCAAAATGTTCTACATTTTCTACAAGACGTATTATACCCCTGGTTGTATATAGACACTCTTTCAGACTCTTTCCTCCGAGTAGAATTGGCAATATCTGATTGGCTCACTGGTAGCCCATGTTCATTTGGTCCATGAAAAGCTTTATTCGTGCGTAACTCGGGTACAGAATTAAAAGACATGATTCTGCGCCCCCTCCAAAGAAGGAATTACATAGCGCTTTAACTCCACCACCTAGCTGACCACAACCCCGGCTGGGACTGGTCCTGTCTAGATGTCCACCTCCATCAGGTTGGGGTCCCCGGAGGCCTCCTCCACGGTGACATACTTCCGCATGTCCTCCTTGCTGATGACCTTCTGGTTGAGGTAGGCGGTGGTGCCGCGGGGGAAGCGGTAGTTGCGCTCCTTCTGGCCGCGCTCGTTGGGCTTGATGTAGTTGCGCAGCAGCTGGGTGGGCTGGTCCTTCTCGATGACGCAGACGTCGACGTTGCTACCGGAGCCGAGATCGTTGAAGATACCGGCCTTGATGGCCTCGGCGCAGAGGGCGACGGCGCCGTCGCGGTCCAGCTGGGGCTTCCACATCGACTCGAAGACGGACATGGCGGCCAGCGAGCCGGAGCCCATGGTCACGTAGGGCAGCTTGTCCGTCGAGCCGTGCGCGTGCACCGTGAAGAGCCCGATGCCCGTGGGGTCCACGCCCGCCACCACCAGGTACGCCCCGATGTGGCCCTGGTACCGGAAAAGGTGCTGCTTCAACATCGTCATGCAGGTGATCACTCGCGGCGGCCGCCCCGTCGACAGCGAGTGCAGCTCCACGTTCGAGCTGATCAGCGCAGTCGTGAACTCCGTGTCCGCCGCCGTACCGGCACCCGCACACCAGATCTTCGGCGCGATGTAGTGTAGCTTCTCGCAGTTCTAAGCATTCCCGCAACCCCGCCCGTTGTTGTTAGCCTCCGTTTATTGAACGAGAGAGAGAGAGAGAGAGTGAGAGAGAGAGAGTGTGTGTGTGTGTGTGTCTTCTTTGTGATTTTGTGGTGGAGTTGAAAGGGTGGGTTTCGATATAGGGACGCTAAGCGGCGAGGCTTCTTTACCTTGTCTGCTACTATCGGTCCGCTGGTAGCTCTGGTATCTGCCGCAATCTGGAATCATCACACCGAGAATCTTAGCTTTCATTGTCCGCCTATCCATCGGAGAGATGATATCGTGTATCATGAGGGAGGGAAGACGTACCACAACACCATTGTCATATATACAACCCACAATCGTGGTACCTGTGCTGGTGGCCTTGGGGAGAGGCACGCCCTTGGCGTGAAGAGCCGCGTTACGGTTGTAGTTGGAGAAGTCGAAGCCGGTCATGGTGACGGCGTGGAGATGGATGTGTTTGGTGTCGGGGACGAAGGTACAGTTGTCAATATTTCAGTGATTTGAGGAGGATAAAGGGGGTGGTAGGAGGGTTAGGCTGATGTATCAAGTAGAGAGAGGTTGAGTTCCGTTGCTTAAGCTTCAACGGCTAACTACTGCTGGAGATGGACGGAGCTGGGAGTGACGAAGCTCCGGGCGCCTGATCTTGACCGCCTCAGGCAGAAAGGCGGTGTGGCGCGCTCTCGCTCTCGAACCCTTGCAATTCCGCTCCCGCTGTTTTTGTCCGGGAGGCTTTTGGAAACAGCACCTTTAATCCTTACTTTAACTGTCTTTTTGTATCCCACGCGGCGCTTCTTTGTCCTTCGCCCGTGCTGTCTCCTACGTGAATTGTACCCCCTTGTCTGGGACTTGAGGGTCTTAACTCTACCGATCTGTGTCACCTGTTTTCTTCCTATCTTTCACTGAGGGGAGGTGACCACGATTTTCGCGCGCACTTGGGAGCTCTTCAATTGGAGTCCTCCAACTCCAGCGCCGCTCCATTCAGCTTCACCGCAGCGTCCTTCTTCTACTCATGCTCCCAAGACTCTAATTAGGCGATCACCCGCGTTCTCTCTCGAACGAGTACGACCGATATAAAATGGCTTTCAACTTTGGAGCATCGAACCCCGCCGGGGGTAGTGCTCCCCCCGAGCTGGGGCCCGAGCTTCCCGAGGGTACTGCTGAGGTAGGTCCCCCTGCAATTGCTTCCATTCACATCAGGGCTCTTCTAACTTCTGCAATGCTCTTTGTAGGACATTGGCTTCAAAGGCGTTGAGGGCGATTCCAACGTCCGAATCCTTGCCACCCCATGGCCCGAAAACGCTCTCCCAGCCCCGACATGTTCGCTCCTGGCCGTTGCGCCAACCAAAGGCATAATTGTTGCTGCTGGACCCAACGCCCTCTCCGTCGCATCTTCTGACGCCGTCAGAGCTGCTATGTCCGAACCCACAGAAGGAAAGGTGGTCAAAACCAAGCCTTTCCAGCCGCAAGCGACCATCCCCCTTCCTGCACGTCCCACACATGTCACCTTTGCCTCAAACGATACCGCCCTTCTGCTGGCCACGGAGAATGGCGCACAACTGTCAGTGTTCGACACCTCGAGCTTAATGTCGGGGAATGCACAGCCAGCGTTGTCGATCCCTACCAATGGAACCACGTTTCGCACCATTGCGGCCAACCCGGCGCCGGAACTCTCGTCCCTTGTTGCGCTGGTGACGACGGGCGGTGATCTTCTGGTAGCGGACTTGAAAGCGGGCAACTTAGTCTCGGGCCCGAACGGTCAAGTGCTGAAGAGCGGAGTCAGCTCGGTCTGTTGGAGCAACAAGGGTAAACAGCTTGTGGCCGGGCTTGCAGATTGCACGGGCTTTCAGATGACCCCGGATGGCACGCAAAAGGATGTGATCCCACGCCCCCCTGATCTTGAGGGTGATTGTCACGGTATGTTGTACTGTTGATACGTATACTTCTGCTCTTTGTCTAATCACGCACAGTTTCCTCCATTGCTTGGTTGGAAAACGACATATTTCTTGTGGTATACACGCCGAACGCATTAGAGGATGACATGGGCCAGAACCCTCCTTCGTCCTATTATATCATCACACGACGGAAACAAGCGCCTTTCTTGATTCAGAAGTTGCCTGAGTTGTGCATGCCCTTTGGGGTCAAGCGCACCCCGGCCTTTCAGTTCATCGCACGCTTGCGTGACTACAAGCCTCACTTGAAGGATGTCCTCATTGTGTCTTCAACGGCCTCCACCGATGTGGGCCTAATCACCAGAGCAGACCAGCCATTGGTAAAGATGGACATGGACACTACTGGACTCTTTGTCACGACTGAAGTGTCAGATGACACAAAAAGAGCGAATGTGCCACTAGTGGCATCTACCGATGAGACTTCAGTTATCGGTTTGGGTATCGATCTCTCTAGCAAGGAAGTTGTCGTTGCTCCGATTGCAGGCGAAGACATCGCTGAGAGCTCCACTCCGTTGCCGAATGTGTTGCTACTCAACAACGAGGGTATTCTTTGCTCTTGGTGGTTCTTGTATTCGGACGCAATTCGACAGAAGGTCCTCTACCAGGGTATGGCGGATCAGACGCAAGCGCCAGCTCAGCCAACGCCGCCAGCTTCTCAGTCAGGTTTTGGTGGCTCACCGGCTCTAGGATCATCTGCGTTTGGCAGTTCCGCTGCCCCGGGTTTTGGGAGTCCATCTGCTCAAGCCGCCCCTCAACAGTCCTCTTTCGGTGCGCCATCATTCGCATCACCGTCGCAGCCCGGGCCTTCCTTTGGCACGAATAGCCTGCTCGGAGGTAATAAGCCCCAGGGTGGTCTCGCCGCATTGGCAAAGAACGAGCCTGGGTTTGGACAATCCGGCTTTGCCTCACTGGGAGGAGGGTCTGGATCTTTTGGGCAACCATCTACGCCTGGAAAGGGACTTAGCTCGCTTGGATTTGCACAATCAGGTTCTAGCTCCGGAGGTGGCTTCGGAGCGTTTGCCAACAAAGGTGGCACAGGTGGATTCAGTGCTTTCGCGTCGGCAAAGCCAGCAGGCGGATCGCCATTTGCGCAAACCTCCACTACGCAAACGTCCACTGTAAGTCCGTTCGCCAAGATTTCCGGCACTTCGACCTTTGGCCCATCGACGTTTGGCGCACAAACTAGCACGGAGTCCTCATTTACCGCTGAGAAGACGATCGGGTCGACGGGTACTTTCGGGCAGAGCTCTACTTCTTTCGTGCTTGGATCAACATTCAAGCCTGATGGTAGTGCTGCAAATGATCTTCCGAAACCAGATAAGCCTTCTGGATTGTTCGGCTTCAATGAGTCAATGGATGACATGATGTCTTCCAGCAACAAGACCAGCCCGCCAACTGAGGAGATGGACGACATGGAAGACGAGAGCGCCACTTCGCAGCAGAAATTTGAGCCCAAGGAGGCTACGCCATCGTTGTTTGGAGCACTGTCGGCGACCCCAACCTCCGCACCGAAATCGTTGTTTGGCGCACCGTCCACAACTACAGATTCTGCACCGAAGTCGTTGTTTGGTGCACCTTCGACGACTACAGCTTCCGCACCGAAATCGTTGTTTGGCGCACCGTCAACGACTACAGATTCTGCACCGAAATCGTTGTTTGGTGCACCTTCGACCACTACAAGTTCTGCACCCACATCGACCTTTGGTTCTCAGAAGCCGATCTCGAATCCCTTCGGTCAACAAGCTAGCAAGCCTGGATTCTCACTGTTCGGTAATACAACTCCTGCCAAGTCACCGTTATCTTCCTTTTCTACACCACCCGCAGACACCCACACTCCATCGAAAGAGGATGATGCCCGGACGCCTAGTGCTACACCACAGGGCGCACCCCTACCGCCAGACCCTATCAGCAAGGCATCATATGGACCCGGTGATACGTCTGCCTCATCGAACGTCTCCAAGAGCTCTGTCGATGACGCGCCTCTACCACCCGATTTCACCTCAAGCAAGCCCGCTGTTAAGGGACCTGCAGAAGACGCACCCTTACCGCCAGACTTCACTTTCAAGAATGGAAAGAAGACAGACGATGAAGAAGAGGCAGAACCCGAAGAGGCTCCATTGCCTCCGGACTTCAGCATCCCCAAGCCACGTAAAGAATCCGAAGACGTTGCACCAGTCCCAGACGAATCCGATGGGGATGATTACGAAGGCGAGGAAGACGTATCTGAAGAAGGCGAGAGCGAGGAAGGGGAAGAGTCGGACTTCGCAGACAGTGGAGAGGACATCACCCACGATATCAGCCAGTCTGAGTCCAATGAGCCAAGTCCTAAGGCATTTCCTGGACCTTTCAAGCCCAGCGCGAAGCTCGCAGGCGGCCTGTTCTCCCCTGCTTCCAAGCCTGCCCCAGCACCGCAACCACAGCCTTCAAGGCCATTGTTCGGTGATAGGAGCAATCCGAGATTCCCTGCACTCCAGAACCGAGAGCTTCCGAGATCGCCCAGTCCAGTACGAGGAGCCGCGTCGAAGAGCCTCTTCAAGGGTGATGGAAAGAAAACTTTCGGCGCCCCTCAAAGTCCGGGCAGCGCTCTCACTGCAAGGAAAGCCTCTCTTTCTGAACACCAAAGACGCGAGAGTCAACTGAAGCCGAAGCCTTCCCGGAGGGAACCCTCGCAACAGGAGATTCGCGCGAGACAGTTAGAGGAGGAAGCGCAGGCTCTTTCCGACGACGATGAGGATGAGAGACTCCGTGCGGATCTTGCACTGCCTCTGGAACCTGTTCCTACCCTTGATCCTTTCTTGCCTCATCAAGACTATGCTGGGGAGACGAGTAAACCTGGTATTCCGGGTCAAATCGAACGGCTGTACCGTGATATTAACTCTATGGTGGACACCTTGGGCATTAATGTTCGTTCGTTGTCTTCCTTCCTTCTCTACCAAAAGACGTCCAGAGATTCTCAATGGGTCGACACGCTGAAGGAGGACAATGCCAGCGACATTCTGGACAAAGAACTGGTTCTGTCTGAGATTGAGAAGTTTGATGACGCTGTTGTCATGCTTGCTGCTTCTCTTGAACAGCAGCGCGTGCAGGGTGTGGAAGAGAAGCTCGAGAGTTGTCGGGAGCTTTTGAGTAAAGACATTATTACTCTTCGGGGTCAGTGTGCCAGCATCCGCAAGACGCTTGATGCTCACACCGACACGACCACAATGCACTTCGCACCTCTTTCCGCGGAGCACGCCAATCTGCAGCAAGACCTGCGGTCGGCATCCACCGAAATCCAGGCGAAGCTAGCCGATCTAGAATCTGCCGCGACTCTTCTCCGCGCCAAAATTGCTGACGTTCCCCTTTCGGGTGGCTCTCGCCATGCGACAAGACGCCCCACCGTTGAGGCTGTTACCACTACGATCCAAAAGATGATGGAGATGGCCGAGACTAAGCGCACCGATATCGATGTCTTGGAGGCTCAGCTCAAGAGATTGGGAATCGACACAACCGCTCCCGCGGCCAGCCGGGAAGGGTCCCCATTCGCGACGCCGAGGAAGAGCACCGGCCGATTTCCCACTACGCCGGGGTCCCGTGGGTCAGTTGACGGGCCATACCACACTCCCGACTCGGCTAGCCGAGCCATCAACTTCCGATCCAGCATCAACGGGTCAGCCAGGGCTAGTCGGCTCCGCAACGTGGAGGCAGTCCAGGACCTGGTCAGCTCAGAAGAAACGGCGCAATGGAAGGCCAAGGTGCAACGCAAACAGCATATTGTCGAGAGTCTGAGGAGCGCCATTGGGGCGAAGAAGTCTCGAGTCCGGACGGTGAATGATTTGTAAAACTAGTGTTTATGTTTTCCTTTCTTTTGTCATGGGACAATCTTGCTGATGGCTACTTACTATGAAAGTCATGTCGGAAAAAAACAGCGGGTCTTTTCTGGCGGGGTTTGATTTTTCTTTTGTTTTGGTTTTCTGTTCTGCACAGGCAGATGTGAATCTTAGGTAGCGCGTCCCATCCGTCTCCACTGTACATAGGTCTCGATTGTAATGCTTGCACGTGCTTTTACGAGAAATGCGTTCATCCAGGTACTGATGAGGAATTTGAGGATAATAACCAGGCTGGCTGCTACCTAGGCTGGTGTACGGAATGCTGGGGATGGGAATGGTCTGATAATGGAGCGAACCTTAGGCACCAAGCTAGGGTCTATAGTCCTCCTCACTGACATCATCCCGCCCAAAGTGGGAGTGACATCAACATGGAACACCATCGATAAGCCTTGGAGTATTTATCATTCTCCTCCCCTCTCTGTCCAACAGACCACCGCCCAGCTAGCTTTTGCAGCCACGAGCCTTTATATCATATTTCCATAATCATTCGATAGCCGCGCGCACAACATGTCGGAACAAAGCGTGACGGAGTTCATCTACTTCCACGTCAAGGACAGCGTCCGACCCGAGGACCCCGCCCACAGCGACGAGGGCGCCGCTCTCCTGCAGGTCTTCCAGAACACCAAGCACCAGAACGGATATAAGGGGTCCGTCTGGGGCCGGGCCGTCGAGGATGCGAGTTTGATCGTTTGGGCGATTGGTTAGTTTAGTTGAGCTCCTCTTTTGTCTCCAGCCAAGCAATCTTCCGCTACCCTCTACCTACCTATCTACCCTCACCACCTCACCCCAACACAAACCTAACAGCCCAACAGACTGGAACGACGCGCACACCGGCGCAAACCCGACCACGACCCTCGCCCCCTTCCTCCCATCGGACAACGCCGAAATCACCACCATCTTCGCCACCCTAACCCCTTCCACCACCACCACCCCCTCCTCCGCTTCCGAGAACAACAAGAACCCAACCACCACCGAAACCCTCCGCAGCAACCCTACCACCGAACTGTGGACCCCCGCGTTCCCGACCTCCCTCAGCCCGGAGGAAGTCAACGCCGTGCACGCCGACCTCATCGGCCTGCGCGCCGCCGTCACGGAGCGCCTCCCCGAAGGCAAACGGGCGGTGTCCTTTGCGATGGGCCAGGTGGAGCGGCCGGGGACGATGACGCACGAGCAGAGCGAGACCGGCGAGGCGTTTGTGGTGGTCGTGGCGGCCGGGTGGGCCAGCGTCGAGGTGCATCTGGCGGGCAAGGAGACGGAGGCGTTCCAGACGGCCATCGGGAAGGTCAGGGCCCGGTTGTTGGCGCCGGTTAGGGGGTTGGGGGGGTTGAAGCATTTTGAGTTCGCGGGGGTTGAGTGAACTAACTCACTGAGTTTGGGGGTGGGGGTGGGGGAGATGGGCTGGGAAGGTCTAGGAGGGTATAAGCTAGGTGTTCATGTGTGGTTTAGGTATTAGGTCTGTGTAGGGTCTGTCCTTTAAGGGTTGGAAGGTTGGTATTAGGGCTGGGGTAGGATGGTTGGGCGATGATGATGATGATGATGTCACAGAATTATGATCAGAATTCAAAGCTGCTTCCTTTTTTTCTTTTGGTCACACAACAATAAGTACAATACAGCAGCCACGGGAGTGGAAATTGAATAGAGAAATAAAAGCCCGGAACGAAGACACAACAAGGAAATGCCCATTAGTTGGTGAGATGAGTAACAAAAAAGACCGACGGGATGGATTTTAGTGGTCAAGTCAGAAAGAAAAAAAAAAGACCCCCAAAGTGTGTAGGAAAAAAAGAACTAAACTAGCTAAAACTTCATACTAACCCGTTTAAATACGATGCTTTTCGCTTTCTGTGTTTGCCGTGGCTTGTTAGTGGATGATAGATCGGATGAGAACACGGGGCACAAAAACTAACCGAGTCGGGAGTAGAGCATGTACAACGCCATCTGGTTGCACTCCTGAGTACCCGTGATAGTGACCAGGCGCTCGTTGCTGTTCTCTTGGGGCTCGTTGATCTTGATCACACTGCCACTCAAGTGTCGGATCTCGTTGATCTTGGCTCCGCCCTTGCCGATGATCGCGCCCACCATGTCGTTGGGGATGTAGATCTGTTGAGTCAGTGGCTGACCAGGCATGACGCCACCGGCAGGGGCAACCGGGGCAGGGCCACCGGCGCCACCAGCACGGGGCTGCGCAGCCTGCGGACCGCCGTAGGCCGCGGGCTGGTGCGGGCCGGCCCCGGAGTACGGGGTGTGGGGAGTAGCGCCGTAGGGCATGTTGGGCTGGGCGACAGGAGTGGGTGCAGCTTGGCCGTGGAGGTAGGGGACGCCATAGCTGCCGGCCGCGCCGCGGTTGGGGTGAGGGTGGTGGCGCTTGAACGTGTCGGGGTGACCGTATTGGCCGCCAGCGGGTTGAGGCACATAGGGGACAACCTGCATCCCTCCAGGCACGGCTCCAGCGGGCCCACCACTGCGAGTAGCGTAGGCAGAGGCTGCCGGTCCGCCGAAGCGTTCAGTCAGCTGCTCGACCAGAGTCACGGCAACATAATAGGTAGCGATGTGCACGGCGTCCGCAACGCCAAGGATTACAAGGGACCGCTCAGTCGACAAGGGAAGGCAGGCATCCGAAGCGTTTAGACGTGCGCCAGAAGCCTCTTGGATCTCGCGGATCCGGCTACCACCCTTGCCAATGATCGAACCAATGAGGATATGAGGGATTAGCAAACGCAAGGGGTACGTCTTGGATTGGGCAGTTGAAGGGGCATCAAGGGGCTCGTTGTTCAAGGTACGGATGATCAAACCGAATGCCTGGCGTCCAAATTAGCATCACTGAACCAGGGCCGCGAAATTCACGTTTCTGGGGATTAAATGTCCACCAACCTTAGCAGCAGCGTCCTGGGGGCCGCTGACAGTCAAGATACGTTCCACCGCACCCCGGGAGTAATCGCTGACAGTGCACTTGGCTCCCGACAGACGACGAATTTGGGAAACATTCTCACCACCTTTACCGATGACGGTTGCAGCCTCCTGGCTGGAGATTACAGCACGGATGTGGATCCAGCTAGACTCGTCCTGAGGGCGCTGCTCAGACTGGGCAGCTGCAGACTCTCCGTGAGAGGCAGTCGACTGGATGGGCTGCGTCTGCGAAGAAGCGCCCTTGGCAGTCGGAGCATCGGGAACCACGGTGTCTCCTTGGCCATCAGCGCTGGCGCTGGAAGCCGCTGCGGCGTCCGTCTTCACCTCGGTATACGCCTCAGCATCCTCGCCCTTTACTACTTTGTCCAAAGCCGGACGCTTGGCCTCGGGCTGGTCATTGGGACCCGACGGCGAGGAAGGATCTTCCAACGGACGCTTGGTCGATTGCAACGCGGATGGAGAGGCAGACATGATTTCTGTATGCCCAAAGCTTTGCAGTCTTGCTTCACTTACACAGGAAGTCGAAGTGTCAAGAATAGCTCTCTTGTTTTTTTTCTCTTTTGTTTTCTGTCTTCTGCTTTATGTGATCGACTATGTACACCAGGAGTTCCCAATAAAACTTGCTGGTGCTGGCGATCGGGTGGAGAGGGAATTCTGGTGCTTGGGATGACTAGGAGGACTGGTGTGAATATGGTGGCGGGAAAGTGAGGCTGGAAAGGAGAGGTCGACGGAGGAAAGTGTGGAAGGATGCTGAATTGTCACGGGCCTTGGTTTGGAGCAGAGAAAGCTTCACCAGAGCGAGGTAGTGGCAAGGTAGAGGATGTAAGGAAAAGAAACCAATCGAATCGGGCACGATGGAACGAAGCAAGAGGTCTTGGATGTTGGACGGAGACGAAAGGTGTGTTCAGGGTCCGGGCGAATTTAGATGCTGGAGGGTGGATAACGGTGGGGGAGGGAAAGGGAAGAAATGAAAGCAAGATTGAAGCCTGAAACAATTCCCAAAGTCCCAATTTCTCCTTGTTTTCCTGCCAGAAAACGCGACTTGCTCAGATGCACAGGCTGTATGTACGTACAGCACGTCGATTACCCAATCACCTGCCGGAGGGGGAGTGTCTAGCGTAGGAAGTTGGACGGGGGAAAGACTCGAAAAGCTGAGGCAGTCGAGAATAGCCGATCGAAGCTCGCGGTCGTAGATAAAGATACGGATGTGAAAGGGATATGATAAGGGGAAGTTGATGGGCGAGGGGGGGAACGGGGGGTTCGACGTCGCGGTGAAGAGATGAGGTTGAGGGAGTTGGTGAGGCGAGCTGTTGGCACGAGACACGCTAGTCCGTTTGCAGTCAAGCCGCCCATGTTCCGCTGTCACGTGTTAAGCCATCAACAACTACTGTTATCCAATTGTATATCAAGCATATTGACAGGTCACAATACTTCACACGCTGCCAGATCACGAGAATAGTGACTGTGATTGAGCTCTATTTTACTCCGGAAAATAATTGCGAAGGACGTCGAATCTACGCTTCCTTGCTGTATTGTCATCATCCACTGCCATGGATGTCCCACAGGAAAGAGTCGATAAAATCCAGCGCTTCGCAGAGAAAAGCCAACAAACAGAAAAGAGCCATGCCACACAACCGCTGAGCCCAGCCAATATCCAGGCCTATAACAAGAGACTGGATGAAACCCTGCGAGAGCTACAAGAACAAGTCAAGCGTCAAGAAGATGAGTTGCGCAAGGTGCGTATTATGACCAATACAAAGACGACCAGCAGACATCGTCAACTAACACGCGGCCCCAGCTACGCGAGATCAACTCCATCAATCTCTCCAGGATCGGTACCAGCACCTGGGCCCGAGTGTCTCAGGTGCGCCGGGCCAAAAAGGCGTATGACTCTCTCCTCAAATCGGAGACGGAGTTTCCACCGCTCGGTTCTCCGTTGCCGTCGTTACTGGCCGTTGAGGAGACATCCCGTCTGGTGAAGGAGACTAAGATCGCCGCCTCGGAAACGGGCAAGAATCTCTCTAACACGCGCCAGCGGTCGAAGACAGAGGAGGCGAACCTGCGCGATGCGCAAGCCATTCAAGATGGTCTGCAGCGACGGATTCGAACTGTGGCGAGTCTAAATGCCACGAAGGAAAAGAAGGCAAGCTCTCAACTAGCGCGGGAGCTCGTGGAGCAGAAGCAACGGGAAAACGACGAGTATGACAAGGCAACAGAAGATACGAAGACCAAACTCTACGAATTTATTGATCGGTCTCTTGCATCGATGCTTGCAGCAGAATCCCTCGGCGGACCGACTGTAGGCGATGTACCAGATGTCTCAGACGCTACCTTGGAACTGGGCTATACCAGCCATGGCAAGCCGAAGAAGCCGAAAGTACAGGCCGAAACAACTGAGTCAGGTACCAGCCAACGACGCATCGATGAGATTCTACCTCGACAGAACGAGCAAGGAAGGACCTCCAACCGAAGGGAAGTGGCGGCAGTCGAGATGCGCAATCTCCTTGACGAGTTGTTGGAAGCAAGCCCCTCGTATGTGAACGTTCGAGAATCCGCAGCTTCCAGGTTTCTAGTACGAGTCAAAGTGGCACAGTTCCACCCGCGCGATGCGAGAAGGTTAAGATTAATTGATTTTGGGCGCACGCTATAATATCATCTAGCTGTCCATTCCCCGCCGCGTCGGCACTATCATGCGGGCTCTATATAGCGCTATAACATAGAAGCGCCATGTGCGCCTATCACACTATCCTTATGAGACACCCGAATGTAACGCCTATACATGCAATAGTCGCAATGAAACCACAGTCGCAAACGCTGATATATCGTAAACATGTCATTAATCGCTATATCTCAGATGCACGCAAAAAGGTATCTCAGACAGGCATCATCCCAATCCGACTTGTCGCTGATTTCGGCTTGGAAGGTTTTTGGGCCGAGGTCGAAGAAGGGCGGTTGTCAGCACGGTCATGGGATTTCCTCCGAGCCCCTGCTGTTTTCGGTTTCGCTTTTGCTCCTGGGTTATAGCGACGTGGACGTTTACTTGTCTGGCGTTTTCGGGGCTTGCCTTTGCCTGACCCTTCGCCACCGTTTCGAGATTCTTCAGTAGCATGCGGCCCTTGCTGCGACGAAAAGAACCTGCTGGAAACAACACTCTCAGTCATATCAAAGTTAGACGCGTGGTCTGCCAGAAATTCCCCATCACTGAACTCATCCTCGTCCTCACTGCTGTTGAGGTAGATAACATTGTGATGGTTGGGATCGGGTACGACGCCATCGGCATCATCACGCTCTTTCCTTAACTCCTCATAGCGACGCTGCGTGTCCCTAACAAGTTTAAGCAGTTGAGAACCGTAACGGATAACTTTGTCAGGATCAATGCCAGGGATTGCAGCAAGTTCCGAAAGGTCTAATCATCAATCAGCACCGACCACAGTCATGATACAAAGTAATCTTACCTTTAGGGAAGACAATGACCATCTCGCGCAAGATGGTATCAGTAAACGGCTGGTTGCGCAGGCCTTTTTGAAGAACCAACTTTTCAATTTGTCAGTGGTTGCCCTGGTTCATGCTCTTTAGAATGTAAGGAATCTTACGTCTTGGCAGTAGTTCTTCGCATAGACCATGAAGTCCTCAGCTACCGCCTTGTGAAGAGGATCAAGCTGATCGAAACGGCGGTCTTGAGTGATAGGTGGACCGGGAGTGCGCTTTTTGTCTGGACGGGGCCTACCAGCAACGCGAATCTTCTCGAATCCGTCACTATCTGCATCATCAGTAGAGTCATCACCAGTTCCTTGGTATCGGAAACGCGCGAGTCGGCGCTGATTTGCGGCCTGTACAGGCGACGAGACGTTCGTAGATTGCGGTACGGTGTCCTTGCTGCCGTCGGTTCGAGAAGACCGTGCGGGCCGTCGACCCTTCCCACTTGGTGAGACGCGGACGTCAAGTTTCAATTTGACGCGACCACTTTCGTAGTCAGTTGCACGTGATCCCAGCTTGATGTACTGGATCACAAATTTGCTACCATTGATCACATTGTCTTCTCTCAAAGCCCCTTCCCTGAGAAGAGTGTAGAACAATCGTTCAACTTCTCCCACTGCTACACCTTTCCCGTCGCCATAGCCTGGGGCATTGCGGTGCTGAGGTGATCTGAACTTCTTTACTGTCCCTCGGAACATGTTCTCGCAATATGACATGGTAACCTTGTCATCCAGGTTTTGAAAGTAGCGAACGAGTTTAACCACAGAGGCAGCGTGGTCTGAGAAATCATGAAGTTCGGTAACAGAATCGGATTTGCAATTGTCGCAAGAAGCATTGCAGTCTTGTCGGCGAAACTTCTCGTTGAAGTAGCCGAGAATTTGCACTCGTCGGCAATCGGTCTGGTTCTCGCAATACTGTACGACCATGCGCAGCATGAGGCGTTGTCTGTCCTTTTGTTCCTTGCTTCCATCACTACTATCGATCATGCGGAACAAAGTTGTTGTATCTTTGTAGGTGTAGAACAAGTAGCAACCAGAACGCTTACCATCTCGACCGGCGCGTCCTGTTTCCTGATAGTAGCCTTCCAAGCTCTTTGGAATGCTATGATGGATCACGAAGCGTACATCGGGTTTATCAATTCCCATTCCAAAAGCGATGGTTGCGACTATGACGTGGGTCCTTCCAGCTTGCCAGGCTCGCTGAATTTCTGCGCGATCCTCGGAGCTCATACCAGCGTGATAATGTGCAGCTTTGATTCGATACTCCTGGCGAAGTTTGCTAGCGACGCTTTCACATGTCTTGCGCGAAAGACAATAGACGATCCCCGACTTGTTGCGGTATGAGTTGTTTATGATATCAGCGACGCTGGCTAGGAGTTCAGACCCCTTCTGCTTCTTCCGCACTTCATAGGACAAGTTAGGTCGGTTAAAGCTTTGAATCAATACTTCGCAGCCTTCCATCCTCAAGTTGTGGATAACGTCAAGTTTGACATTCTCGGTCGCCGTAGCTGTTAACGCCATCATCGGGACGCCAGGAAGCCGGGTTCGGAGTTCTCCAAGTTCCTTATAATCGGGACGAAAGTCATGCCCCCATTGACTGACACAATGAGCCTCGTCGATGACAATGCGAGCTAGCTTGTGGTTGTTGCGAAGCCTTTCTAGGCTGCGAACAATGGCTTGGCTCTTGTTGACCATCTCTGGAGTGATGTAGAGCAACTCAATCTCTTTCTCGGGTCTGAAATCAGATAATATGTCTAGAATCCGCTGGCGCTCTTCTTTCTTTGTTTCGCCATTCAAAACGTACGCCTTGATATTGAGCTTGTTGAGATGGGAGACTTGGTCCTGCATCAAACTCAGCAGTGGTGATATCACGATGGTAACTCCACTTGTCATCCCGCTAGAAACCACAGAGGGCAGCTGATAACACAAAGACTTGCCGCCTCCTGTGGGCATTAGCACAAATACATCTTCGCCACCAAGCGTTGCGTCTATGGCCTCAAGTTGATTAAGACGAAATCCCTGGAGTCCGAATCGATCCCTTAGTGCAGCCTTCACATCTTTGGTCCATGCATGTTGTGTCCACAGAGTGTTCTGGCTTTGTTGCTTCTGCGTTGCGGGAAAACGCGGGGTGTTCCCTGAGGTTTCAGCAAAAACCTTACGGTTCTGAAGCTCGAGATGGTTTGCCGAATTCGTGGAGGGATCTTCAAAGTACTCTGCAGCCTCTAGCATGTCTTCGTCGTCCAGATCGAATTCATCCATTATCTCCGTGGCGACAGTCGGAGAACCCATTGTCCTCGTGAACGTATCCTCGTCCGACAACATGGTCGTATCGTCATAGTCAAAGGTTCTGCGACTGGAGGTGGCGTTGAGGTTTTTGAACGATAGGTCTGATACTCGCGTGGAGATCTCGGAACGTGCGTCATTATAGCCTGTCGTCGGTCGTAGTGAGCCCTTTGAAACCGGCTCCTCAACACCTTTTGTGATACTTGATCGAACAGTGTCTCTAAAATTAGAAGATGTGGCACGAGGTGCAAGCGAGAATGAAGTTGACTGTTCTAGACCAATTCTAGAAGTGCCATTGTGCAGCGAGTCAAGATATGATAAGATATCAGTCCGTTGCAGTGTACGCCGCATATTGGATTCAATTTCCTCTAATTGTGCAGTCAACTGCCGACTCTCTGCAAGTTCCGGCATCGTCTGCGGATCGCCACCTTGCGAAATGGCCTGCATCAAGGTCTTTTTCAGGGCTTGCCTCTTGGTATCGCATGAGAAGTAGGCAGCCCTATCTTGTCTCAGCCTTTCGATGGCCTCGATCTTTTCAGTAAGAGATTTGTTCTCGACAATCAACTCCGGCGCAGGCTCTCCCTTCATTGCTCGCTCATATACAATCTCAGAATTCTTCGTGAGGGTATCTTTGAATGTCGCGATCATCCCTTCGATTGAAGCTGCAGACGAAGACAAAAACCTGGCTACGTCCTTGTCAAGAGAAACAGATGGCGATGAATCCACGGTTGCAGATATGTGCGACGGCTGCTGTGAGCTAGCAAGAGTTCGTGAGGTTGAAGGAATGGCCTCTGACATCCCAGATATGGGCGCAGCTTGCATTGGCTTGCGAACAATAGTTTCAGGCGAATGAGTATCCAGGGCGTCAACCTCTGGCGATATTGGGTACAGAGACTCGTCGGGATTCAAACCCATGTCATCCTTAGCTTCCCAGTCATCGAAGAGATCGTCGTCACCATCTTCATCTGAGTCGGCGATCACTTGACTTAGGTTTCGGGAAGGCGTGCGCTGGTGATTATCCACGGTGGACTGTGGCAGTCTCTTGCGTTGAGAAGGTGAGGGAGCAGGCTGAAGACGTTCAGCAGTTCGAGCAACCTTCATCGGCGAGCGCGCTTTAGAGGCAGACTTTCTCGGCGAGAGAAGATCAGACATATAATCATCGCTTTTCCGCTTCTTCCCACGTTTTTCGGGTGAGTGCTTCCGAACTGCAGCTTCTTCCGTCCATAATTGTTGAGGTTCGCCGAAGCCATCTGTGGTACTTGACGAGAAGGCAGTTGGATCGAAATCCCCAGTCAAATCAATCGTGTCCACATCAAAATCAGAGAATGGCGATAGGACTTCGAGGTTTTGTTTCGAGCGGGAAGGCGTCACGGATGTCTTCTTGGGGCTGCGGACTGAGGAAGGAGGAACACTTTGTGATGCTATTGAGCGTAAGTAGCGCGTAACTGTGGTAGGGAGTGTTCGAATCTGAGCGCACACCTTTTACTGACTTGGTCACGGTAGTTGGCTCCTTCGCGGGCGCCTCTGGCGCAAGACGATGCTTGGATGCTTTTGGGGTCTGGTTGGGGCTATCCTTGGAGAGGCAGAGCATCCGCGGTTTGCGCCCAGACCCCGGAGTAAGTACCAGGCGTGCCATTTCTTCCGATTCAGAGTCTATCTCCCCATCATTGTTGAGATCGGTCTGGTCTTGGATACCACGAGTAGGCTCCGAATTATCAATTGCGAATGAGCCATGTATTTGGGCGGTTAACGTAGGCAATGTCCTGACCGGGGAGAGTGGGAGAGCGCTCCGGGCACTAGTGGTGTTGTTTTGATACTCGTGCTCGGACGAAACCAGAGAGGGGTAGAGTGCATGACCTTGCTGCAACAGCCATTTGAGATGAGCTGTCAGATTATTCTTAGTCATAGGGCCGTAGTCTTGCTCGCATGGTTTTCTCAGGAGATTTAAACATAACAATAGCGATGGGTGTTCTAGCCGCCAAAAACAAAAACTATTGTATGGATGAGAAGCATTGCGACGGCCAATGATCCGACGCGTCTCCGCGCGCTATCACGTGGGCGGTGACTGGCACTCTCTCGGCGCAGCAGTTTCCGACTAGTAACTTAGGCATCTGGTAATCTTAGTACCCTGGTCATACATTACATACCTTGATCGATATATTCACTCGCATCCTGTCAACTCACAATATAACAGTACTCCTCATGTGCACAAATACTTGATGTTCTATCTGTCAGCAAACTCTGTCACTTCAGTATGATTTTTGCTGTCCATCGCAAGCATTGTGGCCCCCCAGAAGTCTAGCTCTTGGATAAATTACGTGTCTCCTGGCGCACGGGGCCGCGGGCTTGTAAAACTATTACTCAATCTGGTAATATTAGGAGGGGCCAATGGCTCGACAATCTTTTTTTTTTCCTTGCGGCCGAGAAGGCCCCGCGCTATAGAAGAAATACTACTGTTCCCGTAGCATTATCGATAAGACAAAATATCCTAAAGCTGGTGAGACTTATCAGCCACCCTGAAGTAACAAAGCCAAGGACAATTTCTCTTCAACCAGAGTAAGCAAGTACTCACTGGAGCCAACATCATGGGCAAGAAGAACAAGAAGTCCGCCGAGCACAAGGAGCGGGTAGCAGCGAAACAGTCGAAGAAAGCTGCCCAGAAAGAGAAGAGAGGCAAGACCAAGGGCAAAGATGCAGACAGCGATGCTGAAGATGCCGATTTGGACGCCATCCTTGCTCAGTATGCAGAGGAGCAAGCCAGGTTCCTTAAGGTCACCGAGACTGTCAGTGGGCCTCCCACTCCTCGGTCCTCTGCCACTGTATTAGCTTCGCCGTCGAACCAGAACGAACTTCTGGTCTTTGGTGGAGAGTATTTCGATGGCAATCTAGCTACCTTCTTCAATAATCTTTTTATCTACAACATCAACCGTGGGGAATGGAAGGAGATTAACAGTCCCAACAGTCCTCTTCCCCGGAGTGGACATGCATGGTGCCGTGGCGGCAACACTGGAGGCGTCTACTTGTTCGGAGGTAAGTGAGCTTCGCAGTTTGGGGTGGGCTCAATTGGATTGACTCTCGTATCTAGGAGAGTTCTCTTCCCCGAAACAGGGAACGTTCTACCACTACAATGATTTCTGGCACCTTGATCCCTTGACAAGGGAATGGACCCGTCTGGAAACGAAGGGCAAGGGGCCTCCGGCTAGAAGTGGTCACCGAATGACTTACTACAAGGTTAGTGTTAATCAAGACGTTCTCAATGTGCCAGAAGCTTATGTTTTTGAAGAACTACATCATTTTGTTTGGAGGATTCCAGGATACCTCGCAACAGACCAAATACCTCCAGGACCTGTGGATCTACGATTGTGCAAAGTATACTTGGTTCACCCCGAATCTTTCAGCAGCTTCACAGAAACCTGATCCACGTTCGTCTTTCTCTTTCTTGCCGCATGACACAGGTGCTGTTCTCTACGGTGGCTATTCCCGCGTCAAAGTTAGCGCAGGTGTCGGGGGAAAGCCAGTGAAGAACGGCCCTCAGCGGATGACCATGAAACCTATGGTTCATCAGGATACTTGGTTCCTTCGAATCACGCCTCCACCTGCTGATGCTCCGGCGAACACACTCCCGACAGTGCGCTGGGAGCGCAGAAAGAAGCCTGCTAACTCGCCCAACCCGCCTCGTGCCGGTGCCACCATGGCGTACCACAAGGGTCGAGGTATCATGTTCGGTGGTGTTCATGATGTTGAGCTCAGCGAGGAAGGCATTGACAGCGAGTTCTTTGACACCATGTTTGCCTGGAATACTGACCGTAACCGCTTCTTCCCCCTGACCCTGAGACGCCCCAGGGCACAAGGCAAGAAACAGGCGGCAAACCAGTTCAAATCTCGCGACCGTAGCAAAGCTACCGAAGAGGAACTTCTACAAAACCTGAAAGCACTGGAGGCCAAGGGAGGCATCCGTGGTTTGGATGACGATGAGGAACTGCAATTGGCATCCAAGGCCGATGAGGAGCCGGCTGAACCAGAGAAACCGGCCGTGATACGATTCGAAATGCCTCATCAACGATTCAATGCGCAGTTGGCGGTGCAAGACGACACTCTATTCATCTTTGGTGGAACCTTTGAGAAGGGAGATCGGGAGTTCACGTTCAATGACCTGTACTCCATTGATTTGGTCAAGCTCGATGGGGTCAAGGAGATTTACTATGATGAACCTGGGAACTGGCATCTGCTCAACGAAGCCGATAGCGACGACGAGATGGATGAGGATGATGAGGAAGATCTTGAAGAAGATGAGGAAGGTGATGAAGATGCCATGTCCCTTGACACTGCCTCCCCTGCACCGACCGAGGTTACTGTACCATCGGTGACCAAGGAATTGGAACAGCTTGATGTGGAAGAGCAGGAGTCAGAGCCATCCGTCCAGGATAGCAGACCTCTTCCTCGTCCTTTCGAGAGCTTGCGTGAATTCTTTACTCGGACATCTGAAGATTGGCAAAAGATTCTGATGGACACTTTGAAAGAAAGAGGCGTCTCGTTGGACAAGAACATCAAAGAACTTCGTAAGGATGCATTCAACATGGCAGAGGAGAAATGGTGGGATAGCAGAGAAGAGATCATGGCTTTGGAAGACGAGCAAGAGGAGGCTGGTATTGGTGAGGTGGTCAGCATTGCTGATCGAGCGGACAATGCCGGAGGCGCTGGAAGACGCAGGTAATCTTGGATAAAAGCTTATCAGAGCATATCAAACAGACATTGCGAGGCGTAATGTCATGGTCCTTAATCTGATATCTTCTTGCGATGCTAGTAAATGACGATGACTACCTAGTACCTCAGCACCTAGTAACATGTCTCTGATTGAACTAGCTAGTTGATGATTTGGGTATTGATTACGTGATCCCCTCGCCTAAGAGCATAGGAATCCTTTCCCTTTTTCTCTTCAGTTCAGACTCTCGAGAGCAACATACCAGAAATGAAGAGTAATCCACGATGGTGTATCGTGGCAGGCCTTCGAAGTCATGCCGTCAATGTCGAAAGCGTGATATCAAAGTAAGCAGTTTAGACGCTCTTCCCAGAGCCTCATGGTTTCCGTCCAGCCACGATACTCACCGACACAGTGCGACAAGAAAAAGGATGGCTGCTCTCAGTGCTCACGCGCTGGGCTTTCATGCCCTGGATATCATAATCCCAAAGATCTGATCATCCTTGATGAGTCCGATGCTACTATCAAGCGAGTGTCGGTGAACCAGACCATTCGACAATCAAGTTCTCCGAATCCGCTGTCAATCAGGCTGCTCCCAACAGTTATGCAGCGCGCAAAGGGCCTTTATATCTCGCAATACGTTGGCGCGATGCCAGCAACAAGCATTTTCTCTTTCATGCAGATCTTCTATCCGCCGATGATTCATGACATTCCGGTTCTAGAGACGGTCACCCGTGCTGTCTTCATGGTAAACTTCTCCTTATCGCACGGGTGCCATGCCGCTCTTCACCACGCTCGGGCCATGTACGGATCAGCTCTGAGGATGACTCGCAAGGCGCTCCAAATACCAGACGAGGTCATGCTCGACAGAACTTTGTTCTCAGTCATCTTAATGTGTGTTTTTGAACGACTCGCAAGTTTTGAAAGTGATGAATCGGTTGTTCCTCGCAGCCATTTGAGTGGAGCCTGTGGATTGATGTCCTTAAGGGGTACAGGGCAGTTCGCGGATAAGTACAGTCCTACCATGCTTCTGCACCTTACTGAGCTTGTGGTACTCGATTGTCTTGCGAGAGGCTCTGCTATTCCGCTGCAGTTTTTGTCTCTGCGGCGGATGGCGCTCGATAATGCCGTGGATACATCATCTCTGAAGTGGAAATTTTGGGATATTATGCTGCGCTATGTACAGCTGGAGAACTCAGTCACGTCGGGCCATCGATCGGAAGAAGTTATACTCAGGGCAGAGCAGCTTGATCTCGAACTCGAAGAGTTGGCATGTTGGCTACCAGTCTTCGTTTCAAGGAGGCAAAGCCCGATGCCCCTAAATATGTCCTTTGCTGGGACTGACATCTACCCTGACTGCAAGTCTTTGACGAACTGGAACAACTTTCGTGTGGTTCGTCTCTTATTAGCTAGGATAGTGCGAGAGCAGGGTACTCGACTACCTGTCTCGTCAGCCGATCATACTTCACTTGACAACATGCTGTACGAGTCTAATCGGAAGGCCGTCGACCTTACCTCAGATATACTTTATTCCTGCTCAAGTGAAGTTCTTTCGTCTCAGCAACCTTGCGACCTGTCCTTAAATACTCTACTTTGGCATCTATACGTGGCCAAAACCCAAGAACTGCAGTTGGGTCATCTAGAGTCATCTCTTCATGACCAGATGCTTCGACTGTCGACAATCCAAGCCCCCGGGCAACGAGCCACTGTAAAGAAAATATTAACATCCTCCGCCGAGGATTCACGGAGTGTCTGGAGAATGTGGCTCAAATTTGGGAGGAACGAATTTCTAATTTAACATGCGAAAATCCCTGGAACGATATCCCTTTTCAGTACTCATTCAACCTCGCCGCGGCCGGGGGATACCTCGCGCCCGCTACGGGATACTTTTTGAGGATGACCTCGATCTCCTCAAGCTCATCCTCGGTCAGCTCAACATCCTGTACATTCTCCAGCACCCGTGCCTCGGAGCGCGCACCCGGAATCGGTACAATGACCGGCATTCCAGGCTTCCTACCCTGAGCCTTCAACCAAGACAACGCCAGCTGAGCCACGGAGCAACCCTTTGCCACCGCGACGGCCTCCATCGCCTCCACCAGCAGACGATTCTGGGCGATGCTATCAGGCTGGAAGCGGGGCACCGTGCGGTGGTGCGTTTCCGGCAGATCGTCCACCGACTTGATCGTCCCCGTCAGCATCCCAGCACCCAGAGGCGTGTGCGCCACCAGGACAATCCCGTTCTCCGCGCAGGCCTCCGCCACCCCGTTCTCAAACACCTCCCGCGACCAGAGACTGACCTCGGCCTCGACCATATCAATCTTCGTCACGCTCGCCGCGCGGCGGATCGTGTCCGCGCGGACTTCACTCAACTGGATGCCTCCGATCTTGCCCTCCTCCCTGAGCTCCGCGAGCGCCCGCACGCTCTCCTCGACAGGCACGTTGGGGTCCACTCTCCCCAAGCCAAAGACATCGATCTTCTTCTTCCCATCCAAGATCCTCAGGGCGTTGTCCACAAACTTGCGCAGCCCCGCGCGCGAACAATCCATGGTGAAGGTCTTCATCGACACCAGCCCGGACTTGACCGTGAAGACGACCCGCTCGGCGTCCTCCGGATAGGTGGTGAAATACCGTTTCATCAGATGCAGGGAGTTGTTGTCCGGGGTGCCGTAGAAGTCGGCGCCGTTCCAGACATTCGCCCCAGCTGCGAGAGCGGTCTTGAGGATTTTGAAGGCTTGTTCATCCGGGGTGGGCCCGTATTGCCATATCAGGCCTATAGCACAGTCAGAATATGCCCAGGATAATAACACGAACAATGATCATGAGAAGCATCGTGTGCTGGCTTAAACGCACGCATCAACCCCAGGCCATTCTGGCTGATTTCTTTTCCGGCGAGTGTAGGCATCCTGAGCGGTATGTGTAGATAGTGGGTTGTGATGTATAGAATCGGGGGAAGTGTACTGTATATGTAGATGGTAGAGTAACTGAAACCTGTGTTTATATCAATGGAAGCATCTTCGACGACAGCGGATCAGCTCGCTATTTAACTTCCGGCAGGGGGTCTCTTAATTCCATGACATGTCTTAATCGCCGTTTCATCTCCGTGGTCGAGGGAACGGTTGAGGGCGTTAAGTCCGCTGCTGAACGTCACGACCAGTTGGATACCTGATCTGGAATAGCGTGGGAATTACAGTGGCTCACTAAGTGATGCGGGATCCATCCATCCATGCGGTGCTCGGTTTCCCCTGCAATCCTGCCGCTCCGCTTGTTGCAGGATCATTTCCCACACTTGGCTGCCTATGCCGCGTATGTATTTCCTCTGAACTTCTCTGAGGGCGTATCCCACACACGCTGGGTCGGTTCGGAGTAGTCCATACCTGTTGGAAACCTTTCCATCACATTCTCATGAATCCTTCGAGGCAACGGAGGGAGATAAAGCATCTTAGCCACGGAGAAGGCTGAAGAAATGTCTAATATGGAAAGACGGTTTCTGATGAACGGAACAAAATCATTTGTATTATTATAATTAAATTCCTCCGACCAGGCAACCTCATCGCAAGGGAGTCAATAGTACAGTTCATAGCCTACATACTCTCATCAGCCACGCTTTGCAGCACTTCCGTCACAAGCGCAAAATCTCGCTCTTCCTCCGCCCGCCAATTCGAGATAGCAATCCGACAAGCGGGTCTTCCGTCCCATGAAGTGCCCGAGACAAACATCTTCGAAGTGTCGTTGATTCTTTTGGCGAGGCTTTGGTTCAGGCTGTCATCTTTGGCACTGAAAAGCACGACCATGTAAGTTCGATCTAGTAGCGCGTCTTTGCTGCCCGCTGCCGGCAGAATGTTGTACTTTGGATGGTCGTACAGCCAACCAGCAATCATTCTTGACAGACGGATCTGCTTCTGGAGCATATTCTTAAAGCCATTCCTCCCGTACGCCACGAGAGAGGTGTAGACTGGCAGTGCCCTGAAGCGCCTGGAGTTCTCCATCCCGTTGTTCAAAGGCGAAGGTATCGCATTTCCACCACTTTGACCACCGGTCAAATACGCTGCATTCGCATTTTGGAATACGTTCACAGCCTCTTCGGGATGGCGACAGAGGACAAATCCACAATCATATGGCACGTTGAGCAGCTTGTGTGCATCACACGCGATGGAGTCTGCCAACTCCATCCCCCCGCAGCCTCGAGCGATGGAAGCGAATTCAGCAGTGGGCTCGAGAATGCGACCAAAGATTCCGAACGCGCCATCAACATGAAGCCAAGCGCCGTATCTATCACAGAGCTCGCGCAATCTCCGCATCTCATCTAAGCTGGACGTGGCGAAGTGTCCGGTGTTGACCTCGCCGCAAGACACAGCGACGATGCTAGCCTTGTTGGACGCTGCCAATTCCGTTTCTAGTTGCTCAAGGTCAAAGCGAAGGGGATCATCGTCCAGACAGATGTTCTTGACATTCGCGCGTCCGATACCGAGGATGCCAGCTGCTTTTCCCATCGACGAATGGGGTAAAGTTGAGAGAACCTGGATCCCAGAGAGCCCGGCTGCTTGCATGACCTCAAACAGACCGTACTCCCCAACGCTCTTGATCGAGGTGCCCTTCTTTTCGGCGGCAACTCGTAAGACGTATTCTCTGCCGCAAGCCAACCCTTGAACATTGCTTGCGGTGGCTCCGGTGGTGAAGGTGCCGTTGTGCCAATGACGCCTGTCCAGCCGTAGAAGATCCACAAGAAGACCCAAAGCGGAATATTCGACATCTGTCGCGACGGAATGCTCGGTGAGATGAACTTGTACATTTTGATCGTATGCAGAGACAAGGTTGTCTGCGAAAAGGGCGGCCGGAGTAATGCCGCCAGTGACGAAGCCATAATAATTGGGGCTTATACTGCTACGATTGAAAGCAGGTACCATATCGTTCAGAATATGTTGCGTGGCCTGGTCGAATCCCAGGCCTTCGTCGCTGAGAGACTTCGGCAGAGACGCTCTGGCTCGCGTAAGAGCAGCAGCATCCGGTAGGACGCCTGGTTCCCACGTTTGAGTCATCTTCCACAAGTCTTGTTGCAGACGGCCTTGCTCCTGCGCAGTTTTTTGGACATTTTCAAGGTTCATGACGATCATATCACCCGTTAGAAGAACAAAAAGCAGCCAATCTGGACCCCCTCCGTGCAAGAGAATAGAGGGTTGGTGTTTGTTTTGAACTTTCAGCAGAGTTGGTTCTTTTCCGACGCGATTATATATTGTGGACCTAGGACGGGATCTGAAGGTTCGGCTGTACCTGCTGTGTCTGGAAAACCGGGGGTTGAATGAGCTTTGAATATCATGGCTCTCAATGGCATAACTAACTCACATATTGCGGAAGCCTTATTATCTCCGAGTCAAGCATTCAAATTGTCCGAAAGTAAGTCTGTCCATTCGATCAGGTTGGGGAAAAGTGGAGATCGGATAGCGGAGAATAAAGAGAGGGAGAAAGTTAGACTAGACTAAGTGACTGGGTTCGTAGTTTCCCTCTTCGTATTCCTGGTACCGGCTGGCTCCCCTAACTAAACTAAACTACTGCCGATAGCAGTCCGCCATCAGACTCTTTTCCCCTTCTACAAAACTCGAATCCAATTCAAATCAACTCTTGCGTGATTTCGTGATACTTTCTACAACCTGTGGATTGAGAATATTATAATTATATAAAATATCCCCCGCAGGTCTAGAACAATGGCTGCCAAGCTAATTGACAGGAAGTTCCACAACGTCCCAGGTACGTTCTGCCATTGTTGTTTATGTGACTCCAACCAGCAAGACGTGCTGACGGGTGGGGGCTGCTTTTGCTTCGTTAGGGAGGCTTCGTGTGGCCGAGCTGTTCTTTGATGTCCCTCTCAATTACACCAAGCCCAATGAGGACTCTCTGAGGCTGTTCGCGCGAAGTGTCCGGCGTCTGGTCACTCCTGTTGAGCCTAGCCCCGTCAGTAATGACGACAAGCAGCTTCCGTGGTTGGTGTACCTGCAGGGTGGCCCAGGGTTCGGATGTCGTCCGCCTCAAGAATTCGGCTGGATCAACACCGTTCTTGATAAAGGCTACCAGGTACTTATTCTGTTGCACTCTTTTCTCCAAGAATTACATGCTAACCATCCCCCTAGGTTCTGTTCCTGGACCAGCGTGGCACTGGCCTCAGCTCGACCATCACGGCGAGCACGCTGGCGCAGAGAGGCGATGCAGTCAAGCAAGCGGAGTATCTGAAGCATTTCCGTGCAGACAACATCGTCCGGGACTGTGAGGCCGTCCGAAGATGCCTCACGGCCAACTATCCCGAAGACAAGCGCAAGTGGAGTGTCATTGGTCAAAGTTTTGGTGGCTTTTGTATCACATCCTACCTTTCCATGTTGTAAGTCAAGAACTTAGGGACAGTATACCTCAAGCAACATGGAATGCTGATCACGTTTTCACCATGAAAGTCCGGAAGGACTATCAGAGGCTTTCATCTGCGGTGGATTACCTCCCTTGGTCAATGGCCCTGACCCTGTGTATGCACTTACCTACAGTACGCACTTTGCCTCTCAGATATGACCTCGAAAACAAGCTGATTCCAAGAAGAAAAGATGATCGAGAGGAATCAGGCCTACTATGCCAAGTTTCCCGAGGACGCTAACCGAGTCAAGCGCATTGTCGAGTATCTTAAGGAGAACGAGATTGCTCTACCTTCCGGCAAGCTCACTATCCACCGATTTCAGCAATTAGGTATTGCCTTCGGCATGCATGGTGAGAAAACACGTCGACCTCTCATTATAGGATGAATTTGCTAAAAAGTATATTCGCAGGGGGTCTTGACAGCATTCACGGTAATTTGCTTTCCATTTGGAGGGTTCCGGCTTAGGCTAACGATGAGACAGATCTTGTGCTACGTGCCTGGAACGATCTAGAGGTGTTTGGCTTCCTTACTCACCCAACCTTGACCTCGATAGACGGTTACGGCGGCATGGACAATAACATCATCTATGCCATTCTCCATGAGGCTATATACTGTCAGGGGTGAGAGCGATCCCAACATCAACCAACCTCGGAACATCAACTAACGCACTTCCCTTTCACTACAGACATGCGTCCAACTGGTCTGCGGACAGATGCCGTGCCGGCCTCCCCATGTTTGACATCAGCTGCGAACAATCTCAATTCTTCTTCACAGGTGAAACGGTAAGCATTATGGAGCCTGTCAATGGCCAGCAGAATGTGCTGATAGACCAAATTTCTCCAACAGGTTCACCAAGACATGTTCGACTCGTACACGGAGCTCCGGCAAATTAAGGAAGCAGCAAAAATCATCGCTTCGACGAGTGACTGGCCCAAGCTCTACGATGAAGCCCAGCTGATGAAGAACGAGGTCCCCGTCTACGCGGCAACGTACATCGACGACATGTACGTGCACTTTGACCATGCGCAGAAAACTGCCGCCAAGATCAAGGGCATCAAGCAGTTCATCACGAATACCATGTACCACAATGCTATCCGTGCAAAATCGGATGAGGTGTTCCAGCAGCTGTTTGCCATGAGGGAAGATACCATTGATTAGACTAGGTCAAGTAAGTAGTGAATTATAGCTATATAAGACTCTATTATTAGCTGAGCTTCTCCATCAGAGTTAACGGAGGTGTGCTTGGCAATGAGAGATGACACCAAAGTAACAATCCTTGTGTCTTGAGCAGCTTTCGTAAAAGCTATATACATCTATATGCGAGCCAACGATGCTTGTTTGAAATGGTCTGTTCTCGTCTGCAGCCTTGAAGGAAGATAGCTTACTCAAAAAACCTAAGAGAGGCGAGTTGCGTTAGTTTGACTGCGATTCATAATGTTGGGCACTTTTGACAAACGTACTGCACCACCAATGATAAAAAGCCGCTCTTCCTCTTGTCGCACCCACTCAATGATCTTACTCGCGCTCTGAGCCAAAGCGTTGCGATTCGCATTCGCGCCCGCCACGCAATAGAGCTCGAACATTGGAGTCACCCAAGCGAAGGAGCTAGACGATTGGGACACGCAATGGTGGACTTTGACGTGCGTATGTTTGGCATGAATGCTCGCATGAAGGTTGTTGTAGGTTGACATCAATCTGCGAGTGATTTTCCCGTCAATATTTACAACTCTTGATCTCGAATATGGTGCCACACAGCATATTACGGAATGCGGGGCAACTTTACCTTCGCCGGCGCGAGACAGTGGAAAACTCAGGGTCGTAGGACGACATAGTGAACTGGACATTCGCCCGCGACTTGTACAAGAAGTGATGCAAGACCGTCCCCGGGACGATGTCCGTCGTGCTGGGGCGACCTTTCGCGACGGCTTCTTTGATGATCTTGATGCTGCCGTTTCTCTCCATTTGCTGGTGGCCCGACAGCCATTAGCTTCTGGACGCTGACACGGGTGATGGTGGTGATATGGTGGATTGGAGAGGTTGAATACACATACCTCTACGAATGCATCGCGCATGCCCTGCAACTCGAAAAAGCTTTCCTTGTCGGCACTGATCAGGACGATGGCGACAGATTCCTCTTTGGTGGTTGTTGTTGTATCGTTGGTGGCAGCGTTTGCGTCATCGCGAAGATCGAGGAAGCTGACGTACATGTACAGATAGCCGCTGCTGTTGAACCCCGGGAGGCAGACGGGGATCCAGCTTTCGCCGCCACCGGCCTTGACGGCCTCGGCTTCGAAGATCATGTTGAATAGGAGTTGGAGGTCCCCGGGGTGGAGGGAGTGTTTTTTCGGCCGGACGACGTTGACGAGCCGGCCGCCGGCGACGACCAGGCCGTAAAGCAGGCTACTGACTTTTGTCTTTAAGAGGGTGTTGTTGATGGCTTGACGGTGGGATTTGCGGATTTTCAGGCATTCCAACGCCGAGAGTAGCGTGGAGGGGGATCCCTTGGTGAAGCTGTCGGCTAAGGTGGATAGAAGCGTCTCCGATCCTTGGAGGGGCCGCTTCAGGTCGGTCGAAGGGCGGATGGAGAAAAGATGCGTGAGAGAGGGCAGGGTTAGCGTTGATAGGATCTGCATGTACAAAGCTTCTAACTGGAGCTTGAGCTGTGTATCGCTCTCCAGCATCCGGCTGATGGCGACAAGGTGCAGGGGCCCCTTTGTTACTATCACGAACTTGGTATCTCCCGCGGTGAAGCTGCTCAAAGGGTCCTTGGAGTCCTCGTAGAACGAGATGATCGTTTGGATGACACCAATATATGTGGATATAAGTCCTCCATCCCCGTGCCGTGTCCAGATCGGCTTGCCAGCAGCCGAGAGGATAAGATAGTGTTTCCGTTTCGCTTTCCAATTCGCAAGGACTTCCTCTGTGGGAACGATCATCAGTATTATCCGGGACAAGTGTGGATTCTCAGCAGCCCACAACCTACCTTCATTTCCCCCCTCCTCATCCACCTCTCCCACGGGCTCAAACTCGCTTGCGAAGTCGTCCTCCACGTCATCCGCTTGGAACTCGGGGAATTGGAGGAGCCCCGTGCTATGCTTGCGGATGAGACCAGTATCGGTCGCGACAAAGTCCCCAAAGACATTCTCCACATCACCGATATCCCCTTGAGGTCCCGAGCTGCGGATACTCGCCGTGTCTCCAGTCTCGCTCCCGCGGGAACTTGTCAGGTGATTAAGACTCGCCTGGGCCTTCAGCGTCTCCGAGCCTTCGCGCACAACGTGACTCTCTTTCCCCGCATCGTGACAACCGATATCCGTCAAGGAGACCGCTGTTGTAGCTCTGGACTGGAGGTTCGTCGGTGCTCCAGGGCGGGATGTGCGTAGCGAGGCGCCTCCTTCATCCAGGAGGCGCAAGGTGTTCGGTCGCGGGGGTAAGGGCGGGGGTCGCTCTTCCTCCTGAGCTGCCTCGGATTCGCGATCCGCGGAAACGGAGGGCTGTTGCAATGAAGACGACGGCGGCGGCGAAATTGCGGAGTTCTCGGTCTCAGGGTTGTTTGCGTCCTGCGCTGGACCATCGGCCGTCGAAACCATGTTCGTCGTCAGCTCCGGCGCATCGAAGAACTGCTCCGATCGGGGGAGATGTGCGTCCGTGCGCGAGGATGGGAAATGGATGGGTCTAAAAAGTTGAGGGATAGATCGTTATGTCGCTGTAATCAATTGATTTACTGCACATGTGCTAAGGATGATAATGCACATGGTGGTAGTGACAGGCCCCAGCTTCCATGACGAGGCCGGTGCGGTGTTGGTGATGGAGAAGTAAATACTTAATGACGAACGTGCCTTGCTTGCCTGGCTGGAACACAACTTGACGTGGAGCACGGGATCGACCCGGCGGAGCTACCGAAAGGCGGGCGACCGACGCCAGATAAACGGAAACATGTCCGCCTGCTGGCCTGGGAATTGGAAGAAGACGCCAACTATTCCACCAGCCAGAGTCCACATGCTACTAGTCCTGATGTTCTACAACAAATCATGACGAACTGCGATCGACAAATACCTGCCCAGGAGATCATCTACTATCCGACCATCGCACAATGAGCCTCGATCCGAGCTCGTTCCCGAGGTCTCACTCCCCCGCAAGCTCCGAAAGCTCTCTTACGCGCTCCCGACTACGGGGGAAGGAAGGTCGGTAATTGATTCGCGCACTGCTGGCCCTTTGCTGGTACTACAGTCATGCAGCCACAGAGTCTAATGGACATGAGATATCTTAGAGCCCTTACGAAAAGACAAGAATTACCGCCGTTATGCGTCGACTGTCGAGCGAGCCTTGTCGTTGTTCGATACCGCTTTGCAGGAGTGGGCAGATTACATCTCCTTCTTGAGCCGACTTCTGAAAGTACGATCACACGATCTCTGAGGCACGCAAGGAAACAATGCTGATGGTACCTTCATAGGCGCTGCAATCGCACCCCGCGGATATTCCTATTGTTCCTCATAAGGCGCTCGTTGCCAAACGGCTTGCGCAATGCCTCAACCCTTCGTTACCATCGGGTGTTCACCAGAAGGCGTTGGAGGTATACTCGTATATCTTTGCTTTGATCAAGGTTTGTCCCGCTTAATGACGGAGCCAAAGTGATGTCGCTAATTGGCAATACTGTCGGCTAGCCGGAGGGTCTATCGCATGACTTACCATTGTATATGCCTGGCATTGCGCCCACTCTTACCTTCGCATCTCTCACTGTTCGACCCCTGTTTCTGACGCTGGTGGAGACACATATATGCAATCTGGAACCATGGGCGATTCGACCTGCCTTGAAGGCCATCATACTGGCTCTACTACCGGGACTAGAGGAAGAGACGAGCGACGACTTCGAACCTACACTGCGACTGATCAATAAATTCCGCGACATTGCTAGCGCCCTGGAGAAGCATAAAGCTGAGGGATTGACGAGCCCGGGAGGCCATTATTTCTGGCAGTGTCTTTTTCTGGCCTCGGTCACCAGTCCCAGCCGACGTGCTGGTGTCCTCGCCTACCTGGGCCGCTACTTGCCTAAACTAGGGAACACAGACCGCCGGCCTTCCAAGGACGAGTCGAATGACTCCATGGACATTCACCAGGGCATGTTAGCTGCAGCAGAATCGATTATCGTGCCCGAACCCGGGCTTCTCATACGCTGTTTTGCGACCGGTCTCGCCGACGAGCAGGTTCTCGTCCAGCGGAACTTCCTAGATTTACTGGTCACCCACTTGCCGCTCAGTTCGCCGGTTCTGCAATCAAAGATCACAGAGGACGATCTTCAGCGACTCATCGCAGCAGCTGTAGGAGTCGTTGCCAGGCGAGACATGAGCCTGAACCGAAGACTCTGGGCTTGGCTCCTTGGGCCCGAGTCTTCCAACGACCGACCGTCATTTGAAGCCCGCAATTCTATATCTGAAGGCGCAACCCAATTCGCAAGCGACCGCAAAGAGCTCTCGCCTTCGGAGTACTTCAGCAAATTCGGGCTGACGCCACTAGTCCAAGGCCTCTTGCGGATGATTGAGCATGACACGACCATACCGGCAGAGAAGACGAAGCCATTCCGCATCTCGCTATCGTTGTTGGACAGATGGGAGGTCGGTGGATACATCATACCAGAGATCTTCTTACCGATAATCCGAAGCGTGCAAGCGTTTGGGCAGAAAGCTTCCAAGAACCACTTCGAGGAGGTCTTCCGCAGCGCCAGCTCATTCTTCGACGGCGTCGAAAGCGGCGTCATTTTCTCCGAACTCCTCCGTCTTATAGATTGGAAGCATCAAGCTTTCACTTCAAAGATCGACGACATAGTAAGCAACCTGGGGCTCGCTTACTTCATTCTAGAGAACTTCAATGTTCGAGAAGAAGACATGATTGCGGTTCACATTCCTCTGTTGACCCTATCCACCATTGTGAAGATGAGGGAGCTGTCTTCATTAAGTAACTCCGCAGCGACACTAGAGCAGCTGCAGCTTGTCTCAGCGGGGCTATCGAAGGTCATGGATTCTTTGACGGGCTTACTGATCGAGAGGTCGTTCACAAGAAAGTCCGATGCACCTGACAAAACCAATGCTGATATGACCGGGTCGGACATATTGAATGTGATTCATACATTTTACAATCAAAGCAAGACCAGCTTAGACCCACAGCCTGTCCCTTTCGTCCCAAGACAGCTGGGTGAGCTCATCATTCGAAATGCCTACGAGCAAGCCATAACAGCCTTTGATAAACAAGGGGACACCACGCAATTGCACGATCGGGTCAACCTGCTCATCATATTACTGAAAAAGCTCCCCCGAACACGTATATTGCGCGACCGGCGCTTGTATCTCGCATTAAGCGATCGTGTTCGCGCCGACCAAGTTGAGAAATCCACGGCCTGCTTCTCGACCATCTCGTCAATCGCGTCCGCAGTAACGAATCTGTACCTCATCAATACTACAGGATACTATATTAGCTACGAAGATGTGTCAGACGTCATTCTCGCGCTTGTGGGACAACTGTGGCAATTTCTATCCCCGATGAGCCCAAAGTTCCATGTGGAGGCTGTTCGTTGCTTGTGGCAATTACACACCGTCTCTTGGTCGGATCACCTAGTTGAGGCAGCCATTACATCCCTCATGGTTGGTTCATCGTCTACAGTGCCTTTTGAAGGGCTGTCAGGCGAGCAACTTGGAAGATATTTTGTCCTGTGGAACCACAGTCATCAAGGCAACTATGAGCTGCCGCCAAAGCGCTTGTATACCTCTATCGAGTCAGTAAAGGTTTACCAAGCTTCGATGCTTGAACGCCCGCTTTTCATCGTCTTAGACTTGCTCGCTCAGCCCTCGAACGAAAATTCTCGAGCTGTCCAACGGTGGCTTCAAGACCTGCCGGCTATGCACAAGTAAGTAGGATCTTTGCCCTCTAGCCTGCCAAGGCATAATTTGTCCCGAAGGGATTATTCCTACATCTTCGAAGATGTTTCATCGTCATATAAATTGCTCACAAACCACAGGGTCTTTCGTATACTAGTCTCGCGGTTGGATCGTCTCTTCCAGGGGTCAAATCGTGGTGAACGGGAAAGCGACGATCAGGTTTTGTCCCCAGATGACTACAAGGAATGCGACTATCTGCTGCGGACCATCTCCAATCTCATATCTACACTTGATCATAATGGCTGGGTCACTCTCCTCACTCAGACGCTATCTCAAGTTGACAAGCGTAAGGATGTCCATGCATCTGAAGGTATGATGGGACTGGTCCTACTGAAAACACACTTGACTAACAATTGCACAGACAGCGCCGAGCTTCAGAGCCTTCATACCATCATCTACCAAGTCAGCCTAAAATTGATCAGCGAGCAGACAGCCACAGGTACTTATGACCTGGAGACAGTTAGACTGCAACAAACATCATTACTAGTCATGCGACAGCTCCTTCTCGGTCCAGGAGCTGAAGAGGTGATTGAGTCTGGAATTGACTCGTTCCTGGTTGATAGGCTCTCTCGTGCCCTGGATTATGGCGCGAATGATTCAATCCAAGGAGACCTAATAGATACCCTTCTAGCGGCGTTGAAGGTCCGATTTGCGCAAGCGTATCTGCCACCGCCCCCTCCACGGCCGAAGCACCACCGAGCAAGCTCTCGTGAGCGCTTGACAAGTCCCTCTATCTTGTCCTTCACAAGCGACAAACCAGAGAAGGTATCTGCGCTGTCTGCCCTCCCTCAGCCACCTCAAAAACTTCTCGAATGCCTTCTCAAAGGCATTGGTTCTAAGAGTTCAAGGGGGATTGTGGACAAGTGGACTGTCCTCCTTTGCGAAGTACTCCCACTGTACGCGGGGTCAATCTTTCAAATACTACTCATGCTTGTCGAATCGCTCTGTAAAGAGATCCAACTTTGCTATGCGAGTTTGCAACTCGCATTCAAGCGTACAGAAGGATGGCCTGATGATCGATCCGAGTACGCCACCATTGCTCTTCTCAGCGCTCTCGAGACCTGCATTGCTACCGCCCACGAGCGGTTGCTAGTAGAGGAGACCTATACTCCTGCTGTCAAGAGTCCTGACCAGAATCATGGATTCTTTGGCAACATGGTTTCAGGGGTATTCTCATCCGAATCGAACCACACGCGTTCGGCCGCAGCGAACAATCGGCTTACTGTCCTACTCTGCTTCCAAGATGCCGTGAGGCTCTGCTTTACCATATGGTCGTGGGGTGCCGTAGAGCGAAGTACGCTGCCGCAAGACGCTGAATCGATAGCTTCATTCCAGTACACGTCTCTGCGTATGAGGAACAGATCGCGTCGCATTCTCGAAAATTTGTTTAACGCAGAGGCACTCGAATGTCTAGAGACAGCTGTGGAGATGTGGACAAAATCTGACAGCGAGACCTCGCCTTTGATTATGAGCCTGCTTCACACTCTGGACGGATCTAGACCGAAGATCGCTATCCCGGCTGTGTTCAATTCTATTTATACAAGAACCAATCCGGCGGCATTGGAGCCGAGCCGCAAATCGACACTGACTGCAAGCCTGACCGAGTCTGAATTGGCGGGCTTCCTGGTGGCATATGCGAGGTCGCTGGATGACGATGCGCTTAATGAAATCTGGGCCGATTGCACGACATTCCTTCGCGATGTGCTCAGCAACCCATTCCCACATCGTCAGATCCTTCCACGACTGGTAGAATTTGCAGCGATCCTTGGAGCGAAACTGGAGAACACCAGCTTTGGGGAAGATCGACGGATGAGGAAAGAACTCGGGGTACGCGATAATCAATGACAATCAAACTCATTGCGACCTACTGACATATGATAGGACGTCTTGCTTCGCCTTCTCACCGCAATCTGGACGAGCAAGCCGATGGGTATTGCTCAAGAGTCTTCCCTTAGCCGCGGCTCTATCGACTATGACAATTCGCCCTCACCGAATATTGGGCCCGACGATATGCTTAGCATCCTTGCGGCATCCATGCCTGCATTCACAATCACACTCGGAGACTCCGACCGAATCACTTCCGCAGTAGCCGGTATCTCAACGAATGTGATCGGACCTCTCTTTCGCTCGCGACTCTTCCCGAACAACCTCAACCGTAATTTCATGACCCTGTTTCAGCACATAGCTAAAGTACCATCTGCTGCTAAAGTATGGAAGAAGGATATAGCCGACGCATTTAACGATACTAGATTCTTCGGGATGCAGATGGACTTGGTTCGGGAGGGATGGCTGAGTCTACTGCGACAGTGGGTGCTCGCAGATAAAGATCGCTTGTCTGAGATGCTGTCTCGCCTCCCGCCACCAAGTACAGCAGGTATTATGTTCGGTGTTGGGGCCTCTGCTGCCCGCCTTGAAGCTGACCGCAAAGCGCAACTAAACCTCCGCCGCATCAGTCTCCTCGTTTTGTCTGCTAACAATGATTACTATATTGGAGAGCTACCCGCCCTTTTGCAGAAGTTGGAAGACCTCCTTGGGGCGACTAGTACTTCCTCTCCATCTTCAACCACTCGGGCTGAGATCTTTATGGTTCTACGTGCTCTCGCACTCAAGAGCTCTGCGACGGCGTTGTCCACATTCTGGCCGCTCATCAATGCTGAACTCCAAGAGGCTATATCAGCCGTACCTCTGGGCCAGCAACAAGATGTATACAACTCATATGCCTTGCTGCAGGCATGCAAACTGTTAGACACGCTACTTGTACTTGCACCAGACGACTTCCAACTTCTGGAGTGGCTTTATGTTACCGACACCATAGACGCCATCTACCCTCCGGACGGCTTCGAGCCGATGGCCCTCGCGGATGAGGTCTCGCAGAGCTTGGGTATGCGTGGGCTTACATCGAATGATGGGGCAGGAGAAACGACCAACCTCAGCCAAGGAGCGAGACAACCGAGCCTAACTGCGGACTGGATCCGTGAGACAGCAAAGGATGAGATTGTCGATCGGGTGCTTCGGCCATTTTTCGACCAGCTCAGCATTCATGCATTTGAAAGTACCTACAGCATGGGCCAACCACAGTTGAATGCGTGTGTCAATGATCTGTTGGCGGATATCTTTAATGAAAGCACCATAGCCAACTAGGATTCCTGAGTTGTTCGCGTGCTGCCTGTGTATCATGATTATTTTTGCTTGTCTATTACAATGCGAACTAGCGTGACTGGCAATGTGCACGTACAGCGCGCATGCCTGTGGTGAGGGATAGAAGCGGCATTTCCAGCATTAAGTTCCAGGCGTCAGGGCGTCGGCGGCATCGATCCGCATGTTCCGTATGCCCCACGGATTAAAGTAGCATTAGTGAATAGATGAGGTGGCTTGGATTCCATGATGGAACATTCTGGAGAAGCGGAAAAGATAATACGCAGAAATTCGCAAGGCAGCTTGGAAATCGGCAGTTGAGTTGGGTGGGCACTAAATACTATAGAGTAATTGGAGGTGTCTGTTCTTAGGCCCGTAGTTTAGGTTAGCAATAACTAGGTTAGTACTTCGTACACTTCGTAACACCCTCGGCCCAACTGGCTGGCCAACAACGTCACTCTCTCCACCCAAGCTTCTTCCTCCGCATCCACCCACACCCCCCCCCCAAAACATCTACGTACTCATACTTCCACCTTCCACATCCACTTCTACTTATACCACGTAAGACCTCGGATAGTCACTTTGTAGTTGTGACCAGCTCTGCGATGCTTCTGACTGACTTATTTCCAAGATTCTCCTCAAATTCAGGACCATGAGTGCAACACGAAGAGTGTTATCGCCTGCATGGCGCGCCGTCGCAACCAAGCCGGTCTTCATTCCGACGCGGAGCTTCGCAGCCTCACCCTTAATGAAGGAGGCAGCTACTGCGCTGCCTGCTAAGAAGCCCGTGGGCGCATTCCGTGGAGGGTACTGCATTCATCCCATATCAACATCACCTTCTTAGTGACCAACTTCCGTCTTTCGGCTGGACTGACAATTCTCTTGATCACAGAATCTTCGGATTCCTCTCCGGCTCGGTTGCCGCCGGCGTTGTCGTCTATTACTACATATTGGCTGAGTACAGAATCTCCAACGAGATGCTAACCGAAGATATCTACGTACGTTTCTCGCTGCGACTTGCCTTGTGACTTTCCTTTTTGCTGATGTGGCTCCCAGGCTCTCCAAACAGCTACCCAGAAGCTGCAGACTTATATCGACGAGCTAGAAACCAAGGTCGACCAACTGAAGAAAAAATAACCTAGCATTGCATTTTCCTGTCGTCTATTTCTTCTCTTCAGTTATCAAGGGTCTGTTTGCTTTCAACATGCTTCTGCAGGAGTTCCTCGCCACGGGTCTTAGCATATCATTTTTGGTCCTTTTTTTTCCATCTGAAATGCAGTTTCTACGGGGTATGAGCATTGTAAAAACCCAGTCAATAAAAGACTGTATTGCATTGTGAAGGTGTATGCCAGATCTACGCATGCGAGTAGGTTCTACATCAGAAGGGATGTGCAATGTGAAATGAAGTCGCTTCCAAAGACATGCCGATGTCCTCCGTACTTTACTGTACCATACTCTCAGCGACGACGCGTTGGACTTGGGGAGGCGAGACAGACTGTCGGCGTCATCGGATAGACCTGCAGTGCAAACCCATCAAACAAGAGCTCTCGCAGCCTTTTTCTGCCAGTCCTCATTTTGTATTCTCGCTCTTATCGCCGCGATTTCTCCCCGATTATCGTGCATGCGCCATCGCAGAAATTCAACAACCCACCACACGAGGCACGATGTATCGCGTTGAACTTCTTCCCGGGTCGACAACCCACGTCAGTCCGGGCTGGACCTACGTCCCGGATCGAGGCTTCGACCCCGCCAAAGCAGCCATCACGCCCACCATCGGTCGTAAACGCGGCATCCGGGACCCAGGCCGGACAGATCTCTCTTCCCGACAGACCAACGCGATCATCCGACATCTGGCCGAACTTGACCGCGAGAACCATCGCGATGTACAGATCCAGATACCCGTGAGACAGAAAGAGCCTGCTGCCCCACGAGGTACGTCTCCCCTTCCTCCCTTGTTGAACACCACAGCGGAGCAGTTCGCTGTGCGCTGCACCGCAAACAGCAAGACTCAGACATCTCGTTCACAATCCGCAAAGCAAAACCCCCTCTCAGACCACAGTCCTGAACAACTAAAAACTTACTTAAACCATGATCAGGAACCCGCACGAAGGTAACCTCCAACGTCCGCCGCATCCTCCAATCCCAAAAGACCTTCCGCAACTACCTCGACGACGAAGAAGCCGCTCAAGCCAGCACCGCCGCCGCCACGCCAGGAAACACCAGCGCAACAAACCCCCCCTCCTCCTCCTCAGCAGCAGCAGCAGCAGCCGCCGGTGGCGGTAGTGCAACAGGACACAGAGGCTCGATCCACCGAATCACGAAACCCAGCACAGCAGCCACGACCCCGTCCTCCCTCCGCCGCAGCTCCACCCCGGTCTCCTCTCGAGGCGACCACCACCACCGCGGCACGAAGAAACAACCCTCCATACCCCCTTCCCAAGCACAACCGCAGCCACAACCCCCCTCCTCCCACGCCTCAACCCACCCAGCAACAACCCCCGTCCCCGTCCCCGTCCCCGAAACCACCACCGGTTCCCCGGCTACCACAACCGACCACGACCACGACCACCCCACCCCGAAGCCGGAAGAAAATGCCCCCGAAGAACCAAACACCACAACGCTCATCCGCTCCGAACACGACTCCAACCCGCTCCTCCGCTCGTACCTCCCCGCCGCCCCCTCCGAGCGCATCATGCAGGCCCTGCTGGCCGAGCCGCCGCTGACGTACCACGCGGCCCGCGCGGGCTCGCCGATCGCGCCCCGCCGCTCGCAGCGGCACTTCTGCTGCATGTGCGGGTACTGGGGCAAGATCCGGTGCAAGAATTGCCACGCCCGGACGTGCGGGCTGGCGTGCTATAAGGTGCATGAGGATTCGAGGTGTGGGGCTTTCTTTTGATCTTTGGAGGAGAGGGGGGGGGGGGGGGCGGGTTACTCCACCTCATGGAAGGAGTCAAAATGTGGGAAGTGTGAAGGGAATTTTAGGCGGAGGGTGGGTGCATTTTGGTTTTTTGAGGGCGTTTTTTTTGGAAACCAGTCCACTGGACATTATTACTATGCCTGTGTTTACAATATACCATGCTGGTTCTTTTTTATATGTGTATTTGTACACTACCACCCAAGTCGAGATATAATGAAACATGAGAACAACGAGAAAGCCCGGTCTGGAATTGGGGGTTTACTCGATTGAAGTCGGACACATATAGGTGATGTACTACATGAGATAGATAGATAGATACAATAACCAAACAGCAGCGGCGGGGATCAACATTTCAGGTTGATGCCCGCGCGGGCTTCCTCCTCCCGAATCTCGAACATCACCTGGATCCCGACGAACAGCGCACCGCACGCCGTGATGATATACACAATGCCGGCCCAGGAGCCCAGGATCGACGCCACCAGGCCCTTGAGCCCGTCGATCCCCAGAGCAAAGCCGACGAGGTTGGCGACCATCATCATCAGCACGTTGGCCACGGCCCCGACGCCGGTGATCACGCGGTAGGCGGTGGGCCGCGAGCGCCAGCGACTGGCGGGGAAGAGCAGGCCGCCGATGACCTCGGGCAGCACGAACAACGTGATGAGCCAGCCCCACATGAGCAGGCGCAGGTTGATGTCGTGCCAGAGCGCGACGAAGGTGAACACGATGAGGGTGTTGAAGATCTTGCGGCCCTTGCCGAACATCCCCGACGAGGAGGAGTCGCGGCTGCTGCTACGGGCGCCGCTGCCACCGCCCAGCGGGACGTAGAGGTAGCGGACGATCCACCGGTTGAAGGAGCGGTGCCAGGCGCGCCAGAACGCCAGCGCGGAGTAATTGTTGGAGACGCAGCGGATCATGTTCTCCGGCGGGTCGATGCCGTCCACCAGGGCCCAGAAGCGGAAGAAGCGCCATGGGATCAGGAGCTTGAGCCAGATGATGTGTAGGTTGAAGTAGGCGAGCATGCTGAGTTGGCCGGCTGTGTACAGCGACCAGTCGGGCGAGGCTTTGGAGATAGCGACAGCGTAGATATAGTGGAGGATCAGCTCCATCGCGAGTAAGGTGAGGAAGAAGCGGATTCCATAGAGGGTTGTTCTTGCGGTAGTGAGTGATGGCGGGGCGTATCTTTGTTGGGAGATGTAGTCATTGAAGGTCAGGATGGGTCCTGTCAGGTAGAGAGGTGCGTAAAGCACGTAGGCGACATAGTAACGACCGTTAAAAGCGGACAGCTCAGCCGGGATACTGACCCTGTCCCGCTCTGAGAGTGCTGCTGGATCGAGTTGCTTCTTCTTATGGCGGTCAGAAGGAGTTCTTCATACAGAGAACATGGACTTACTTCAACGGGGCTCGCGGCGGGGTAGTCTAGGCTCCAGTAGTAGTCCATGTTGAAGCTGATCAGACGGAGCACCGTGATGTTGAACAGAATCTCCCAACGGGGGATGATACCCCCAAAATCATCAAAAGAACGAGCCCAAAGCACCAGGGCGGGCACTTCCTTGGTAGCATCGAAAGCAGGTATCAGGAAGGAAGCTAAGCGCTCGAGCGGATACCCGGCACAGAGCTCATTGGCGAACAGGGTTGCAATGTTGAACGTCCAGGTTGCTGCGGGAATGTATTCTCTAGGCATCGATTTGGCGATTCGGTAGTTGATGTAAAGGATCGTGAGAACCTTGAAAGCGGAAACGCCGTGAAGCGCAATGATGAAGACAAAGGCGAAGTAATAATCAAAACTGATCCGTTGCTTGAGGCGGGCATCTCCAGCTGCAACGGCCGGGGAGGCTTTTGCAGAGCCCAGGCCTGGGCTGGCTGGACTGACATATCGATTGTAGGCTCGGCGAAGGATTGGATGGCCGACTAAGAGGATGAGGAGGTAAGGAACGTTCTCTCGGAAACCGGAGTACTGGGCATCGGAGTTGTCCTAAGCATCCAGGCAATGTTAGCTCCATACGAAAATGATTGAAACGACAGTAACGTACAACTTTGCGACCGGGTATCCAACCGTCCTCGAGTAAGGAAGAGTATGTGGCATAAGTGGGATGACTCTCTGCCGGAACAATCAGCATCTGGCCCTCACACGTGCACAAGAGGAGATGGACCTTGTGATACCCCAATGACAGTCGTGAACATCAATGGCACCGCGATCAAGAAAACGATATAGTAGATATAGAATTCCAAAGTGTTCCACCTCGAAGGTGAGGCATTGCGGGCAATGGCAGCAGAACGGGGATCTTTGGTAGAGGCAGGTCGCGCGTCAGCCGCGGCGACTTTGGCGGGAGTGGTCGCAGAAGCCGTGAAACGAGTGTCGAGGGTGTCGAGGGAGTATAATCGCCGAAGCCAGGCGAGCAGTGAGAGAATCATTCTGGCACCAGCATCTCGTGAGGAGTGACGAACCCCTCGGAAAGTGGACGGAGTGGGTGGGTAGATGGGTAGAGAAAGGTGGTGGACACAGTGCGGAGAGTTAAGCAGGAGGAACCGGAACTCTGGGGGATCGATCGCCCGGGTCCATTTTTGGTTCAGGGGCGGAGCGGAGCGTGGCCGACTGCTGCAACTGATCCGCCGGTTTTCATGTCCTAAGCCATGATGAATTGTGTATAAAGCTGGTGCGACTGTATGAAAACCTATTTCTAAAGTTCAGTCAGACTGTATCATACCTTAGTCTTATACACTTCGACACCCATGTAAAGCCTACGTTAATGCAATGAATAGAATGTATTTCCTGAAGGTGCAGAGCATAAAACATTAATGCTGACTGGCTGCTTGCTCCCCCGCCGCAACAGGACCTTTCCAGTCCAGGAAAGCGGTATCAAGGCGGGCCCGCGGCGACATCCGTGGCTGACTAACCACATCGGCGACGCATGATGAAGCTAAGGTACAGACAAGATATAGATTGAAAGACAGACATACAACAACAAGTATTCCTGTTTAACTCATACTACATGCTTGAATGAGAATTTTACTCATCTATCAATATGTCATCGCAGCGAGTATGTCACCCCCCCAATCCACTCTCTTGGAAGACGATCGGACCTCTTATGACCGCACTACGTCATCCAAACTTCATATCTAATCTGCAGTCACTGACATGGATAGATCGCATTCAAAGTATCTGGAACAGTGCAAGGTATGCCTCTATTCAGCACTAGGAATGCCTGCTCTCCTATGACAAGCTACCACATGATATGATCGAGCATAAGCTAATATCCGCGGATTATGCAGGAGTGGGGTTTAGGTACGCCACCACTTCAACTACTAGACCCGGTCCCCCGCACAGTTGAACCGCTAGCTAACCAAACCTCTCTGCACCTACAGAGACTTCACGCAGAAGCGCGCCACCGAGTACGGCTTGAGGGGCTGGGTGAAGAACACGCACTGCGGAAGGGTTCGTACTCCCGGGCATATCCTCCCCTGGGATTGCCTTGACGCCATACTCGTTCGGCCTGCAATATTGCTAACGCTGAGCACTTGTAGGTCGAAGGGGAAGCTCAAGGACCCGCTGAATCAGTGCAGAAGCTGCTCAAGGACCTCAACAATGGACCCCGTCTAGCACATGTTGTCAAACTGGAGCAGAAGGAGGTTGGTGTGAAGGACGGCGAAGAGAAATTCTCATGCTACAAGACGTCGGAGTCGGGGTTTGCGAACATTGAGTAAGTCGGGCTGTGTATAGGGCACGTGCATGCCATGGTAGTCGCGTGTCTGCGCTTGCGTGTACGTGTAGAAGGAAAAACGCACGCGATCGTAATAAATGAGAGAGTAACAGTGCTGGGTGCTGGATAAAAGATAGCATACAATGTGACTAACTTTGTAAAAGCATTGTGCTGCATGGGATGTCCTATTCGTAAGGGCGCCCTTTTCGATTGGTGTTGTCTTGAAGTATAGATAGAGATCATGGAAAAGCAAACTTTGGAAGCTACGTAGCACTCCAACAAAATTAGAACAACAAATTCTCACCTCAATCCGAAGCAGACAAAAGGATCATGACGTCGCAGCCCCGGACACGAAGATAAGGTTATTGCCAACAAGTCCCCCGACTCAATCCCGAGTTATGTTCGGTAGGTATGCCTGACTCACCCAGACTCAGACACGGCATCCCGGCTTCACCCGAGAATGCTGAGCCATCAACCCTCCAAGATTCATCCCCCTATGTCAGCGTCAGCGCAATACGAGAGCGTCCCTGCGCAAATCCTTTCAGTCCGACTCTGTTCAAACAAGATGCTAAATTGGTCTCTGGATACACGATATCGACGTTGATCAAGTTGTATTCAGGTTGTTGTATATGTATAGTAGAAGCCGGTTACTCAACAAACCAATCAGTGGCGAAGAACCTTCACATACTAACAAACCGAACAGTAGTACATGAGCGATCGACTAGGCTACTGTACCAAACCAACGGGATATCCTGGGGTTTCACCGGAACGACAGATAGGATCGCCGATCCTGGGCCGCCAGATCCCATCAAATGCCGTTCGAAACCCGACCAAGAAATTTCCAAACCCCCTCGGCCATATCCCAGCGCCGAGTTGAATTCGCCTTCCGGTGGACGCCGAATTCGTCGAATCCCGCCGCGCCCTTTCACCCTCCCGAGATATCTCATTTCAGGTCATCTGGGGGGGAGGGGGCTGATGCCTGTCTTTTCTCACCGGTCATGAAAGATGCCCCGTCCTGAGTACTGTACCTATTCTTGTGGGCGTATACGAGATTGGTTTTGACTAACAAAGAAGGACTCTTTACGTACCTTCCTAGTGTGAAGGAAAGAGGGGGGTGGCCTGCGTGGTGGCTTTTACTGTGCAGGGAGCGATAGTTAACTACTTCTAGGTTCTTTGTTTGTGCTTCCTTTCTCCTCCCTCCTTAGAGATCATAGTTTGACAGGGTACGGAGTAGTCAGACGGGCAATGCAGGGATGGATCGTCTGTAATGAGTAAGATTCTAGACCCCTATGAACTCTTCCACCATTTCATGGTTCTTTACGGACAGTACATCCACCAGCGGACCCCACCTCTAGTTCTGGTGCAGGGCAAAAGCTGCCAGTGCCACTGACCGGACCGGGATCTGTACGCGCTAGTGATTAGAGTATACTATACCCAAGTGAGTCTATTTCTATTGAGACATTGATTCTAAGCAATCCACACGCAGAATAAAAATACGCTTTTGCAGAGTACATAGCAATAATGAGCGCGGAAACCTTGCAGAGATATATTCCGTCAACTTCAACGAGAAGTGGCCTGATCCAGAGACAAGTATACTAAAGTATCGTTCGTATAACCAGCAACAGGGAATGATTCCTGTAGGATGCGAAGAACATCCACTGCACCTGGCATGGCATACCTTTTGAGGCTCCCAGATGAGATCATATCGCATAACTTACCTACTACAACAGCATAGTCCAACCCGACCCAGTGGCTGAGCAAGTTTGAGAGCATTACTAAACTGCGCAAAGGATGTGGTTCTCTTTTTTCTTTGCTTTGTCCGCGTGACTTTTCGCAGGGCGGCCCCTCCGTCGCCGTCCCGCTGCGTACAATTCCGGGGCGCCACTCCGATTTCTGCCGAGAACAGATTCGGTCAGTCCCCCAGGTAAGGTACTGGACCTGAACCGCCGGGTTGGGGGGAGTCATACTTGGTACTCAGTAGGTTCAGGTACAAGTGAATTTTTCTTTCTGTGTATTTGAGTTTTTCAAGATGTTATATAAATAGGTACCGGTCAAGGGGGGTTGTGGCATTCTCAGTACATAATCAAATCAGAATCACTTTGATTTACAGACTTCTCTATCACGCACTTTAAAGCACTCACTCGAAGGCTTTCTCATACAACAAATACAACAGCACTCCAAACATCAACGCTACATACAAATCACTGATCGCATACGACGATGAATTCCATGGCAGCCACGGCGCCCCTTAGGGTGGCCATCCCGAAGGCAAGCCTTCGCTTCACCATGCGAAGCAACCCGAGTGTCATCATCATGACCGGGCTCCGGTGTGGCAGCTCGACCCTGGGCAACAACTATCACCAGCCCACGTACAACAAGCGGTTCATCTCGACGACACAGAAGCAGGATAAGATCAAGGAGTTCTTCCCGCCACCGAAGGCTCCCCATGTCAAAGAAGTGGAGACCGCCTGGGTCCATCCGGTGTACGTTCCGTTCGATCGTTCGTCTTGCGAATTGGCGCTAGGATGCTGATTTTTGCCACAGTTACTCGGAAGAGCAGATGAACCAAGTCACGGTTGCGCATCGCGACGCGAAAGATTGGGCCGATTGGATCGCACTCGGTACCGTGCGGGTGCTGCGATGGGGCATGGACTTCGTGACGGGTTACCGCCACCCTCCTGCGGGCAAGGAACACGAGGCCAGATTCCAGATGACCGAGCAAGCGTGGTTGAGACGGTTTGTCTTCCTGGAAAGTGTGGCTGGTGTGCCCGGTATGGTGGGCGGCATGTTACGACACCTGCGAAGCCTGCGGCGCATGAAGAGAGACAATGGATGGTAGGTTCTCCGCCGTTGCTTCCCGCCTGCAAACCATAGATGTATCAAGAACACCAACTAACCACTCTTCTGCAATAGGATCGAAACCCTTTTGGAGGAAGCATACAACGAGCGGATGCATCTCCTGACCTTCCTCAAGCTCGCGGAACCGGGCTGGTTCATGCGACTCATGGTGCTCGGCGCCCAGGGAGTCTTCTTCAACGGCTTCTTCCTGTCCTACCTCATGTCGCCGCGCATCTGCCACCGATTCGTGGGGTATCTCGAGGAGGAGGCCGTGATCACGTACACCCGCGCGATCCAAGACATCGAGCACGGCAAGCTACCCCACTGGGAGAAATTGGAGGCGCCCGAGATCGCGGTGCAGTACTGGAAGATGCCGGAAGGACAGCGGACGATGCGGGACCTGTTGCTCTATGTGCGCGCCGACGAGGCCAAGCACCGGGAGGTGAACCACACCCTAGGCAACCTCGACCACGCGACAGACCCGAACCCGTACGCAGCCAAGTACAAGGATCCATCCAAGCCCCATCCGAACAAGGGCATTGACAATCTCAAGGCCACTGGTTGGGAGCGGGAGGAAGTGATCTAAAAGGAACATCTGGTGTCACGCCGGCTGGACCGGGGCAGTTGTCACCACGGGCTAACTAATCATTCCCTGGAGGAATTTTTGTTTCATGTATAGATGGGTGGACGGTGCTGGTTGCTCTCTGCCGTGGGGGGAAGTTGGTTTTCGATAAGCAGCGGGCCAATGGGCACTGTACTATTATGTTGTAAATAATGGCATCTCTCCTCAAATTTCAATAGACGAATTGACTGTGAATCATGTTGCTTCTGACCGAACGGGCTCAACCGAGGCTTGTGCGTGGAAGTGACGTGCAGGGTGCAGCTGAGCAGAGAAGAATCGACTGAGTAAGAGTAGAGTAAGCCGTAAGGGGGTTCGCGTCAAAAGGACTCAAAAGTCTGGATGCGGGGCTTTTCAGGCACGGGGGACGCTAGACCTGAAAAGGCAAAGTGGCAGTTACTCAACCACAGAACCAATTCAACAGGAGACAGAGAGGCTTGAATCCAGTGCAATATCCACACGGCGCATGTTCGATGAGCATCAGCCATCGATCATGGGGTAGTAGCCTTGGAGGGCACCAGCCATTCCGGCAATCCGGCTCTAAATGACCTCAGGGGCTCGCTTGTCCACACGGTCACCCGAAAAGACGGATGCACAAGAAAGAAATGACACTTCTATTAATACCGGTGGTGCATTATCAATGCAGACGTGTGTGATAATCACCCTGGGCTATCGACCCGCTTCCCCTTTTAGTGGGAAAAAAACGCCCCCCCTTTCGAACTTCCCAAATTCAATCTTGCCCCGATGATCGGTTGACCATCTCTAATTAATCACTCAACTCTCGCGTCTCAAACCTACGCCTTGTCCCTATTCTCGATCCTTTCGCGTCATTTCCATAATTCCCCATCACCCGACGTACACCTGTCCTTTGCTCTCTAGTGTGAGAGGTATAACTCGCCTCATACCGGATCTGTGTCCTCTCGAACGCGCCGCCGTGCCCCCAATACGATCTATCTTTTGCAGACCTGCGACCGTCACCAGTGAACGAGCCAACAAGGATAACGTGCGCAGCCATGGATGACTCTATCGACCCCGAATCCATCACCTCCCCTGCCCGCGCCGGTTCTCCCTCTCCATCGGTTCCAGCAACGCCGGCCATCTCTTCCTGTCCATCGCCAGACCGGACCTTTTCGTCTCTCTCCTCGCTCTCGGCCTCGTCTGCTACCTCTGCCGATGCCAGGTCGTCGATTTCGACCGCCTCCAAGCGACGGGGCTACATCCGCACCCAAGGAGCCGAATTCGCAGATTCAGCCAAGAACCGAGAGAGTGTGATGAGCCTGGGTAGCATCGCGCATCTGCAATACTACTTTGCGCGGACAGGCTTGCTGGATGGGAAGGGCGGTCAGGCCCGTGCATACAAGAAAAAGAAGAAGGATCCAGAAGAGCTTCCCAGGCTGCTGCTGACCCCCAATGCCCGGTTCATCGAGGAGTTGACGGTGAGCCCTACGGAGGAAGAAAGCATCGATCCCCGCGATTCCGGCTTTGAGGACGATGGGTCCGAGATGGATGAGGACGTCGAGGTGATGCTTCCACCCACCGTGAGCACGTACAGTATCAAGACGCACCACATCCCGTCCCCACCGAAACTAAAGGCGCTGCGGAAAGACCTGATGGAGGCGATGGAGAAGGCCGACCGCGCGATCAATTCCCTCGACACCCAGAAGGATCCACCGGCGGAAATGATTCCGCCCCGCATCAGTTTCTCATCCAACGAACCCGGCGACAGCGAAGATGACTCAACACCACAGCCTCCTCCGGAGGCAGTACCTCAGACATGGCAGGAGATCCAGGGCATGCGTGTCCTGGATGCTGTCACCTTAGCCATTCGGGCTGCGAAGATCTACTACACCGCACATGAGCGTCCTGAGCGACTGGCATCAATCAAGGACAAGCGGGAGATCCGAAAGGAGCTCTTCAGTGTGCTCGAGGTGATGAAGCGATGGGCCGCTCGGAACTTTGCCGACGGGCTTCGCGAGGACGAGCGTACCGCCATTATAGGCTGGATGGGAAACGTACGTGACATGCTGGCGCGGGAAGCTCAGCTGGAATCATTCGAAGCCAAAGAGCGAGCTGCATGGATCTGGACGGAAGGGGAATGGACAGGCAAGGAGCGGGACCGGGAGACGTTGTTCCTGCGTAGCCTGATCGGCGCCGACGCGCAGCTGCCCGCATGGACCGCTCCGGAGGATAACTCACCGCCGCCTGCCATGCTGGAGCGTCTGCGTGACGGCCGAGACCTGGTGCGGGCCCATAATTTCGCGATCAAAAATTCCAAGCGGCCGGTCTTCGACATCAAGACGTACCATCAGGATGTCGGGAAGCCATATCGCATGGCAGAGAACCTGCGATTCTGGATCAAGGCGGCTGAGCTACGATGGGAAACTAAGCTGGAGATCGACGTGATGGGGGTGGTACAGGGCAATAGCGACGAGGCTTGGAAGCAGTTCGACACCGCTCTGCTGTCCTGGTGTAGGGTAGTCCGCGAAGAGCTGGTGCGGGATTGGCGGGAGCGGCGAGCTTCGGCTGCCAGCCTTCCTAGTGACGACCTGGTGATCCGTCCTTTGTGATAGGAGGTGCTCGGTCGTCAATTGTGATCGATCTTGGTCACGAATAGGAAGAGAGGGGGCTTGTTTTTTTGGGGGGAAAGGGGAGAAGGGGAAGCCGGAGAAAGAGGAGGGGAATTGGGAAGGGGAAGACCGACGGGATGGTCGGTGGGTTCGTTCTTGCGCTTATTTTGCTGTCCGCTCTGGCCACATTGATACCCCTTGCTTGTCTGAGCTCAGTCAGGTTGGAAATATTTGTGTTTTACATTTCACC